GCCCAGTGTTCCCTGCCGGACCTCAACCACGACCATCCACGCCCAGTGTTCCCTGCCGGGCCTCAACCACGATCATCCACGCCCAGTGTTCCCTGCCGGACCCCAACGCCCCTGTCAAAAGCCATGCCAGATAGAATGTCAAAAGCTATGCCAGCTAGAATGTCAGAAACCCTGCGTGATGGCGAGTCTTTCAAACATGCATGAATATATGGAACAAAGAGTGTCAGAAGAAATGACAGACTGACATGCGCAATGACCTGCCAGGTGAAACAAATGATTTGGCTCAGGTGGTCCACTGCCATGTTTGGTCATGTTTAAGCAAACCTGTTGAGAGCTCTGGAGTGTACTTCACATGGCCCACTGACATGTTTATATACTGTTTGACAGACTGACATGCACAATGACCTGCCAGGTGAAACAAATGATCGGGATAGTTAGTTACGCAAAAGTCGCGTGACAAAAGCTTCAGACAAAAGCGGAGTCAACAAGCTGTTTTGAAATGTCATGGTGGGGATCACTCGAAGTAAAGTAATTTGGTCTACTTGTTTCCCCAATGGCGGAGCCGGTGGAGGACCCCCGCTGCTCGTCTCCACCGTTTCGCCCAGGTGCCGAGCGGCGAGGTGTGCTCCGCCTTGGGCTGCGCAGCACCTCAGGAGCCGTCGGCGGGCCGGAGACACTTCTTGCTGCGTGGGACGGCTCTGGCGGAGCCCGGGGGCTCAGACGCCCTGAGACGTATAGAGACGCCTGGCACACGTTGGTGACTAAAAAGTGACTTAGTGGTTGGGCCCCCCAGCAAGTCGCAGTTTAAAAGGACATGATCAAGAATTTCTTCAGTGCACAGACTCTTTAAGGACCACTTGAAAGTGACTAGGATTGTGGTTTATGATGTTTTTGCTGGGAGATGTTGTCATGTTGGGTGTGGTGTGGTGCGTAAGTAAGTGGCTTTGAGGCAAGTGGCAGTGCCCATGCTGGCCGCCCTCATGCCTCTTTGCTACAGATACTTCTCAGAACAGCGCCCAGATGCCTCACCAGGCGGGGGGGGGGCCGTTTCGTCTGACCGAGGGACCCCGGGGGGGCAATGGGACGACAGATGACGACAGCCTGTGACTCCCAGGTGGAAGGAGGGGCAACAGGTTTCAGAAGTAGGAACAAGAACTCTTTGAACACGGTGAACAGCCCAATCAAAGGAGTTTCTCCTGTGTTTTTGGGGTCCCCCAAACTCCTGCGTTTGGAGGGTCCGGACGGTCTGAGAACTCAGGATCGAGGCTCCATCGATCGGGTCCAAACAGCGCCGATCGGCTGGACGCCGATGATCTCGACATGAACGGGTTCGAAATCGCGGGAAGACGAGCTGCGTTTGGAGTGGTTTTTGCATAGCAAGATGTGCAAGATGCAGTGACACCATGGGAAGAGCCCCTCTCATTCTTTGGCGTCATACTTGGGACCAAATCGTGTGGAACTAGCCTTGCCCGGACATAGGAACAGATTTGGATCTGAGGTGAGAGTTTCATACATCTTAGGGACTAATCATGTCTAATAACGTCGATCTGACAAAGTCTTTCACTTCGTGATCTCTTAGATCTTTGGCACTGGACATCTACCTGGAGTCTCAGTTCGTACCTCCGAACCATGGGGTTTGTAGTCGTACCTGTTTCTTTTTTGGGTTTGTGGTCATGTCCCATTTCTCTTCAGGTATGAAGCCCAGGCTTGGTCGGGTCTCGGGTACGGCCTGTGCTTCACCGGTCCCGCCCGCGACCGCCGACACCGGGCCAGGCGCGCTGCGCCCGACGGCGACCGGCGAGACCGGCGAGACCGCCCTGCCGCGTGTCTTGGGCGTTCGAGTGGCGGGAAAGGTGTTCGGAGGAGTCGTCTTTGCAGTGGTTTCAGAGGCTCGATGGCACCTCATCATGCCTCAGGTGGTTTGTATGAACCCTCATCATGCCTCAGCTCAACGACATGTCGGGGATTGTAGTGGTCTATGCCATCTACTCTAACCACTGTAGTTTTGAGGGAGAAACCCAGGAATTCTTGAAACTGCTCAAGGTAGATCAGGTCTGATCCGTCTAGGTCTGTAGATTGCTTCTCTTTTTAATGAAGTGGTTCATGATAGGGCCTGAAAGATTCCAAAGGACCTATCAAACATATTAAACATTAGATTCATCCAATCATCTGACTGTGATGCCCCTCACAGGATTTCCTTCACTGCTCGAGCACGCGTTCTCGGGTTAGTTTGGGGGACCAGTAGCAACCCCGCAGGCTTCTGCAGACTTTGGGACTTGGATCTCTCCACCGAGCAGCCTTTCTGAGCCCAAGAAAGAGAGACACAACACAGATCGGTGAGCATCAAAGAAGACATGAGATGTACCCAAAGAAGACTCGAGCTGATCAAAGATTGAACTGATCGTCAGTGTGACCGGTGACCCAAGCACATGGCTTCCTTACCAAATGACCAGCAAATGTTCAAGCATTTCCTTTTCAGTTTTAAAGCAAGGCTTGGGGTAAACTGGCCACTCGGCTTGGAAAGAGAAAGCGCACCATGGAAAGTTCCGAGCTTCACTCAGCCTTTGAGAAAGCCTTGAAAAGGCGGGATCGAGATCTGCGTCTGGTGGTGGAATGGATCTGACCAATTGCTAGAGGCTTTTATTTTTCCCGCAGCGATTGTGGGGTGCTCAAAACTCTTGAAGTGGCTTCACTGCCCTGCTGCCCAGTCAAGCAAAGGGAGGGGAGAGCTCAGTCTGCTCAGTCAAGGCCCCAAAAACACAGGTCGGGTTGGCCATGTGAATGACATGGAGTTGGAGGGATGTGGATATTATGAGGATTTGCAACCTGCACATATATAGCTGTCGCTGTAGCTTAGCTACCTGTAGCAGCCTGATGCTGTAGCAACCTGTACTGTTGAAAAAGCACTTGCCAGCTGTAGCTGTAGCTGTAGCTCTTCACTTTCAACACTTGGACCCCTCAACGCCCTTTCACCTGTGCCGTGCGCTCCTCAAAAAAGACGCGAGCTTCTTGCGCACACGTCTTGCCGTCTCGCCCTGTGTTGCCAACCCTGTCGTGCGCGCGCGATTCTGGTGAGGCATCGGGAAGAGGTTTTTGCGCATTTGAACAGTTGGTTGGAACGGCTTGACGTGACCTTGGAAGAGCGCTCTGGGTTGCCCTTCGGCTTCGGACTGGAGAAAGATCTGCTGGAGGAGCTGAGCAAAGAAGCAGAGGTGCTGGCCGATTTTGTTGGGATTGTTTCCGCACCAACTGCCTTTTCAAATGATGCATGAATCCGCTTTGAACCTATAGATCCCTATCATGCTTCCCTGAATGTCCCGATTCTTTTTCTTATTCTCTCTCTTTCTCTCTCTCTCTCTCTCTCAGAGACCGCTGCCCCCGTCCAGGTCACCGCCCAGGTCTCCGAGCACCGCTCCCAGCGCTCCGAGCCGCGCGGAGCCGGCGCCGACGTCTCCGCGACGGCGGAGGAGCCCTCGGAGCTCGAGGAGCCCAGCGCCCGCTCCGAGGAGCGCTCCGAGGACGTCGTCACGGCCGCCGCCTCGGCGGCCTCGGCCGCGCGGAGCCCCGGGCGCTCCATCGCCTCGGACGCGCAACGGAAGCTGAACCGGAGCGGCAGCTATGAAACGGCCAAGGCCGAGGAGACGCGACTGCTGTTTTCCTGGGGAGGCATTTTTTCGGACTTGGATATAGGTGCAGCTCAGATTCTTTGGCGAAGATTTGGGTGCCTTTTGCTTTCCTGTGTTGTTGTTGTTGTTGTTGTTGCGTCACTTCTTTCTGTTTCTTAGGTAATCACAACACTGGTCACAGTGGTCACAGCAGTTATGTCTTTTTTTTCTCTCAAATATCAAGATACTCAAGAAGCGCGTTCTCCTGCCCTTATCCTGCCCAAAGCCGCAGCTTCTCCAGTCCTTCCCTCCTGAGGACTCGTTCGAAGTGCAAGAAGAGACTGCAAGACTTTCAAAACTATGCCTTCCGGATCGTGAACTCCACCTGGTTCAACGCTGCCTTTGCCGTTATCATCATTACCAATTCCTTGCGCCTAGCCAAAGAAGGAGATATGTATATATATATATACATACACGCACACACACACAGGCTATATAATGGATACATATATACATATGTATATCCACACATATACATATATACATATGTGTATATATATATACACACACTAACATGCACAAACGGTAAACCCCACCACGGACCTATGTCTTCTTTGATAACTTTGTTTTGTCAGTGTTTTGAGCATATTTTTATGCACTGTTCTTAAAGTGGAGACGGATTAAGCCTTCAATGTGTTTTAACACATAGATTTGGGAACACATGTACTCACAATCATGAATGTGCCACGGTGATCAACACACTTCAGAGTACTTGGCACTAGACTCGAGACACATTCCAACATGTTGCCGCTGTTGCAAGAGGTTTTAAGAATCAATGATGCTGGAGCGTTCGCTGTTGAATCCACCAGTCTTCGTGGTGTGTGCTAGTTACACTAAGACGAAGCCTGGAATTGAGCGCAAGGTGGGCCGATAGAATCCGAAGAACACCTGTTGAAAGAACATCATGACTCATGACCCCCACAGCGATTTATGTTGAAGGGCACTCTACTCCGCAGGGAGAACCGAGAACTCTTGACGGGTCTCAACTTATGCGTGGAAACCTACAGCCTACACATGTTTCTTTATGAGCTCATTTCGGATTTGTTTGCAGTGTTTGTTCAATGCACTTGGTTGAAGTTCCTGGAGGTTTCTGCCAAGGCCCATCTATATATATAGGTAGCACAGAGTTGCGTGGAACGGCCAGTTCAAAGGCATATTCTTCGCCCAAACATCTGGAGCGTCCACCACAGAGGAGAGTTCACATGAGCAACTTCGGTCTCCAAACATCTGCTATTCCAAACAAAGTCAAGTCCAGCTTCCAAACCCAACGTTTCAGTTTCCGAACCCAAGTCGCCGACTCTGTTCCGAACCTGTTGTCCATTCCGCCTGGAGTTTGGTGAGATTTTTCCTTCACTCGCAGTCTCTGAGGTACTTGGGAGCGCAGGTCGAAGTGAATGCGGCCCACGATGGGCTTTTTGTTCATCCCGTCTTTGTGGTGATCCATATGATCTATATGGGTCTGCCGGTTGCCGATCGGGTGATTCCTTTTCTATTTTCTCCAAAAAACCGAATCCTCTCTATTTATGTTGATGTGAAGGTTTTTTTCCAAACGGGTCAGCTAGAGTAAATGGTTTGAACATTCCATGACCTAAGCATCTGGACTGCCAATTTCCCAGGTCTCTTTTCGATTGAGATCTTCTTTCGCTGCGCTGCCGTCGGTCCTCGCTCCTATGTGTGTGGCTCTGGATGGGCTTGGCACTGGCTAGACATGGTCGCGGTGTCTCGCCCGATGCCCTTCGCGGTCGCGGTAGGCGGAGAGAAACGCAGAACACCTGGAAAGGTTGACGTCTTTTTCGAGTGCCGCTTGTTCTATCTACTTGGGGGCCTGGGGGTTTAAGTAGTTTTCATGCAATTGATGGCAGTGCTTGTGGTGGTTGCTATCAGCTGCTGCTGCACCTGCCACCTGCCATCTGCCACCTGCCCACCTGCCGCCCACCTGCCACCGCCTGCCGTCTCCGGTCCCGTTCCGAACCCAATCCCCGGTGCCCATCTCCGGCTTCCTACCGCGCCCGGGGAGGTCGCGACCGAACCGTCGCTGAAGACCGAGGTGTTTTCATCGTGGGTGGAGTTCGTGGTCGACTTTCTGGATCAGAGTGGAACGTACTCCTCGGCCGCCAGCAATTTTCGGATTCTGAGCAGCTCGGCGTCAGGAAAAGAACCACCTGGATCTTCCAACTATGCAACATTGCTGCCTTTTCATCTGCAATACCATCCTGAGAAACCACATGCACACGCTTGAACCCTGATCTTGCTTCACACCGCGGCCGTTTCTTACTTCCTGCAATCGCAGGGCCCTTGAGCCACTTCGTTCGCGTGAAAGCCATTTGCTGCGCTGCTTCGCGGTTCGTCAGTGGTAGCGGAGCCGGTGTGACGACCCGGCTCTGCGACGCCTTCATCCTCTTGGCGGGGGACGCCCCGACCAAAGGACTTCACGACTTCTTCTTGAAGGTTGTCTTCAACTTCGACTACCAGTTTGACTTTGTGCGTCTTAGAGCCTTGGGGCAGTGACGTCACTACTTGCTTGTTTTGGTCTACGACCACCTTTTCTTCTTGGCGGCGAAACCTGAGCTTCCGCCACTTCTTTGGCTTTGGCCACTTCATCAGGTCTACGCGTGTACACCTTCCGCGTTGACTTCTTCTTTGCCTACCAGTTTGACTGGACTTCATTGCTTGACCTATCATGCAACGACCTCAACGAACGTGGACTGGCCGGACTTCATCGGCGAGTCCCTCGGCTACAAGTGCGGCGGCGGCTGCAGCACCTACGCCAGAGATGCCAGAAGATGGCCCTGGACTATTTCCTGAACCTGAACAGTTTCCTGAGCTACCTGAGGTACCTGGACCTGTTCATCGTGCACCACCAGTTCAAGCTTTAGATGATCCTCTCCAAGAGCAGGATCCTTGGACTCGAGGTGCTGCTTCACGTCGAAGCACGCCCAAAGCTGGTCAGCCCGCTGAAGGTCGACGACATGTTGACTACAGAATGGATCCTGCCCCGACATGGGGTGGTGACCTGCCGGAGAAGAATTACAAAGACTACCACAAGAAGCTACGACTATGGATGGTTGAAGCAGAAGCTCGCATTCCGAGCAACTTGATAGGCAAGCGCATCATCGACTCCATCCCGCTTGGCTCCAAATTGAGCGCCCTCCTTGGTTCTTTGACCGTTGATGAAATTTGCTCCGATGATGGCCATAGAGTCATTTTGAAGATCATCGAGGAGGCGCATGAGTACTTGAGAGATCAGAGCTTGGAGCAAGCTTTCGATGATGCAATATTCAAAGGCCGACGAGATCGTGGAACCTCACTCACGGCCTTCCTGACCGGCAAGAAAGCTGCATTCAATGAATTGAAGAAGCAAGGATTGGACCTGCTAACCTCAGCAGCTGGGCGACACCTTTTAGGCCACCTGATCCTGAGGCAGGGGTCATTCACTCAGGATCAGCGTCAGAGGCTTAAAGTGGTGACAAATGGTTCAATCGACTATGTGGAAATTGAGAAGGCCATTCAAAAGGTCTTCGGTGACAAGTTGGACGATCAACATGGTGATCACCCTCATACCCCTCGACGCTGGCGCAGTGCAACGTTTTGGGATGCCGATGGCATTGAGGACTTTGAAGAGTCTTGGGATAATGGTGATGAGTTTGATGGCTATTCGCCAACTTCAGATGCTCCCACGGAAGAAGATGACTTGTTTGCTGATCTGGTGTGTCTCAGCGACTCCTGGGAGACACAGATGATCTTCCACCAGGAGCTTCCCATTGTCATGGATGAAGCTGAAGCTATGGAGCACATCAGCGGCAACATCGAGGAGATCTGCCTGGAGACCCGTGACCGAATGTTCAAAGGAAAAGGCAAAGGCAAGAAGGGCAAAGGCAAAAGCAAGAACTTCTCCAAGACATATCAAGGCTTTGGCAGTGGTCGTGGGAACTACTTGGATCATCGCCGAGCTCTACAACAGACTCGGATGAGCAGAGGGTACGACAAGCCTTGGATGCCGAGAGCAGGCAGCCGATTGTCTTTGACAGAGCTCAAAGCAAAAACAAGGTGCCACCAGTGCAAACAAGTGGGTCACTGGAGTCGGGAGTGCCCACAGCGGCGATCAAGCCCGACTTCATCAAGTGCGACCTCTAGCACAGGTTTCTTCCTGGAACCACCCAGGAAGGTTGCCGGTTTTGGCCACCAGTTTTTCACCCACGACCAGCCAGACACAATCGTGGAGGAATATCTTGCGCAGTCCTTCTTGAGCTTTTGTTTTGCACAGTACACACCCAAGCCTTCAGGAACAGCGCTAGTTGACACTGCAGCACAACATGGATTGGTTGGCATGGAAACTTTGAAACATCATGATGAGTTGTTGAAACAACGTTTTGGACTACAAGTTCAATGGACCACGGAGTCAGGGGGCATGGTTCGAGGAGTTTGCGGAACTGAGGAAAACACTTCATTGGCCTATGTCCCCATTGGTTTAAGTGGAAAGTCAGGTGTCCTCAAGGTTCAGATTGTCCCTGGAGAAATTCCGTTCCTCATTCCAGCTTACTTCCTCGCTGACCTTGAAGCGGTGATTGACATGAAGCATGCCACGATTATGTACATGGCCCTCGGTGTGACCCAAAAGATGACCAGACTCCCCACTGGACACGTTGCCGTTTCGATCGTGGAGTTCGGTCCTGGGTTCACTGTTCCAGCGACTTTCCGCTGCTTCAAAAGTCAAGCGTGGAAGATTGACGAAGCCCACTGGTCATCTCACGCTCCCGCAGATGCCCTCCAGCTCAAGGCCATGGGTCCGCTGGCGACGTTTGCTCTTGCGGCTACTTGTCTCCATTTGCTTGCAAGCCAAGCAGCTTTTCATGCAGCTGACTCGGCAGCCTCAACTACGACAAGTTCGACAACTCCAGAAGAGGCGCGAGCACTTGGAGCAGCAAGCGCTTTCCTTGGCGCAGCAGGAGCAGAAGATGATGGCCGAGGCTTCATCTGGCAGTACAATGCCAGCACAGGGCTACTTGAACGTGTCCCGTCCCGAAGATCGAGTACGACCTATGGCATGCATTCGAGGACGCGGTCGCTACCTGGTTCCGGAGTTGGAGAAGTCCACCCATTGTGCTCATCTGAAAACCACACACGGTGCAAATCGGATTCTCTCCTACCAGCGCTGCGAACAATGCGGACAGGAGCAACAGATGCCGCTGACACCTCTCCAAGATCTACAGCATTGGAACGACACGCTGGTCTATGTGAAGTGCGCCTTCTTCGAGAAAGCCACCGAGAGGTTGGAAGCGAAAGTTGCAGCAAAGGAGAAGGCACGGGGAACTTCAGCCAAAAGTTCATCGACATTGCAACCGACCGCAAAGAAGACGTCAGCTCGAGCGGTCGGGACCTCATCGATGACGGGAACCAGCAAGACCACAGCGACCAAGTCTCGGTCACGCCCGTTGGTCAAAGAGGAGACGCCAGACGAGTGGCTGGTGTGCAAGGAGGAGGAACAGGAGATGGCAGCCTTCGAAGCGTTCATTGGCGACACGGAGATGGAGACTGGACCCCTGGACCCTCTGGTTCAGACACATACTCAGCATTGCAGCCTGTGTCGCCTGGGCATGGCCATCCTGTACATCCACACTCCCAGTCAGCGTCTATACTGGAAATGCGATCGGGACAACTGCTCGATTCGATGGGCAAATCTGGATGCGACCTCCGAGATGGCAGTGGGAGTCCTTCTATGTCCCCATTGTCAGACGCACCAGATGCTTCACCTGGACGTGCCTTCCAACAGTCCGGAGGACGAGACGGAGATCCAGTGCACCAACACGGAGTGCAACCTCGCAATGTACATGTTCGAGTTGCCACTGGTGATGCAGAAGATGGGTGCCTTCGATCTTCGACGACTTCAGCCCATGTGAGACAAGGCTGGTTGAGCACCATGGTGGACATCAACGACTATGACCAGTCCTTCTTCGAGGTCCTGGACGCCTTGGAGGTAGACTACAACTGCACCTATGTAACCGCCGGATGCGGTGATGCTGTGTTTGGTGTTGTGCCGGTGTCTTCAAAGCCGACTATTAGCAGACGGATCATCATGATCCAGAGCGAAGATGAGCCTTGGAGCGCTGTGCACGTCACCTACACCCCAGGGGATGGCTATTCTCTGGGCAGCAGTGTGGACTACCTCATCCTCTATGAGTTCGACCGGGACTTTCTCGAGTACATGAAGGACACCGAATTCGAAAGTGAGATCACTTTGTCCAGGTCAATGAAGAAAGAGCTGTCGACCTGCCTGGACAATTTGCTCGGTGACCTCACTGTGTATTGGAACCTCTGGGAGGACAACCACGAGCCAGATGATATAGCAGAAGTATTTGGCTCTATGACACCCGATGATGTGATCGAGATCTACAGCCCTCCAAGGGTAGTTCAAGCAGCAGCGGCACGTGGCCTGAAAGCTGAGATATCGATTGACCTTCAGACTGGCTATGACCTCAGCTTCAACAAGGAGAAGATCACCGTTCGTGCACTACTACAACGCCGGAGGCCTCGGCTTTTGATTACTTCACCACCGTGCACAAAGTTCTCTCCAATGCAAAACTTGCGACCACATCCAGAACGACTGGAAGATGAACTACCTGCTGCCATTGAACATGTGAACTACTCGATGGACCTTCAACAAGATCAAGTATCACGAGGAGGTCATTCATTGCATGAGCACCCAGACACAGCGACATCCTGGACGCTTCCGAAGGTTCGACAGTTTCTGGCGAAAGATGAGGTTTTGCTTATCAAGTCAGATCAGTGCCGCTTTGGCCTACGCGTGAGAGAAGGGTTGAACCGCAAGTCGACACTGTTCGCGACCACATGCGATCAGATTGCAGTGGAGCTCCAGCGGCTGTGCACAGGTGACCATCCTCATGAACCTTTGATTGGTGGTCTACCCGCACGTGCTCAAGAATACCCTCCTGAACTGGTCAAGGCAATCATTGATGGCTTGATTCAGGAGTGGCGAGACCAACAGACTGGACAACCACGACATCTTCCTGACCGTGGTGATCTTGAGCAATGGTGCGATGAGCTGGATCAAAAGAAGTTCCAATGGCGCGAATTTCATGGCATGGCAGTGCTGGCTCTTCAGCGACCTCAATTCGTACCACCTCATGGCCCTGGTCACCGACACCTTCGATGGACTTGGTGCAAGAATCCCTATGATGGTAAGTGGCTTCAGTTTGAACGAGCCAAGAGTGGAAAAGCCAAGCCCTTCGAGGTGACCTTTCCCTATGTGGTGATTCTCTACCAGCACCAGGCCATGGTTCAGCAGACTTTTGCCGCTGAAGATGCGCCCAAGCGTTCAATCAGTGCCAATGAAAAGATGATGGTGTTGCGGGCTCATGTGAACCTTGGACATCCTCGAGTTCGCGAATTTGTGAGATTGCTGAAGGCAGCTGGCACCAGGAATGACATCGTGGACTACGTGCTCAAGGAGTTCACATGTGCTGGCTGTGCAAAAGAGCAGAGGATGCCCACAAGACTGCCATCCGCAACACCAAGAACCTATGACTTCAACATCGTGATTGGCATCGACTTGCTGTTTGTCCACGGAGCCTCACCACTAGAAGAACACCCAGTGCTGAACGTCACCTGCATCGGAACCTTGTATTCCACATTCACCATGGTCGATCATCTGCACTGGTGTGGGCCACTTTCCTACAGGCATGGCTCCGAGTGTTTGGTTCGCCGTCTTTCCTGATCCTGGATCAGGGACTGGAATCTGCCGGACATTTTGTCGAAGGCCTCGAGAACCTGGGCATCCAGCCGATGCTGATTGATCGCAATGCACCGTATCAAAACGGTGTCACAGAGAGAAGAGGAGGTTTGTTCAAAGAGCTCTATTACAAGACCCGGGAACTCCACCAACCTTCTAATCTCCAAGAGGTCAAAGACATGATCCATGAGGTCAGCTGGGCACTACAAACTCTGACCAACCGTTCCGGCTATTCACCTGCACAACGAGTATTCGGCCGGCAGCCCAGTCTAGCTCTGGACCTTCTTGGCGATGGTGGACAGTTTGAACTGTCGCAGACAGGAGATGAAGCTTGGAAGCGATCAGAGGCAATCCGACAAGCTGCTCGAAAGGCTTTGGTTGAGATTGACGGCAAAGAACGCCTTGATCGTGCCCTTCGTTCCCGACCTCGTCGCGCTCGAGAAGATTACACCTTCGAGGAGGGAGAACCTGTCTACGTTTGGCGGCAGGGCAAACGAGGCTACCAGGCCAAGGTTGGACCTTGCTTTGTGGTCTTGCAAAAGGGTGACACTGTTTGGATCACGAGGAGGAGTGAGCTGTGGAAGTGCAACAAAAGTCAGATCTTCAAGATGGGCAATTTGGAGAAGCAAGGACTCGAGAGCATTCCCCGAGATCTCCTGAAAGTCAAGGAAAGGTTGCGTTATGACAGCGAAAAGTTGGGCTACATCGACGTCACCAAGGAAGGAGACCCACGACTTGATGCTGATGGCCAACCTGCTCAAGGAGATCTTGACATTCATCGAAGGATTCCTCCAACGCCTCGAGGACCCCCCGAAGGACTGAGAACACCAGTCCATTCGGGTGCGCCACAGACTCCACTCCCTGCAGCTCCATCGACACCAAGGCCTATGGCCGTGCGAGAAATGAGATCAAGATCGCCAATTCGACAACCTGTGATCCATGTCAACGATGAGGATGACCAACCGGTTGACCTGGAGAAAGACGACCAACCTGGAACTACGTCCACTCAGAGCCAGAGGCCGTCGACTCCAAGACCGGAAACTGCGACTTCATCACAGCCTATGACTCCAAAGGCTATGCCTATGCCATCCGCACCTTCGAGACCATCTCCGGAGGTGTCTTCACAGAGTTCTTCAGCGCCTACACAGCCGATGAAAGATGCTGATGAGCTGTGGAAAGCTACTGTAGAAAGCCAACGTTCCCGTGATGCTGGACCATCCACGACTTCTGACCAAGATGAACTCCGACATTGGGTTCGCTATGATGTTGAGGCCAGAAGATTCCGTGGCAGCAACAGTCATGGACCTCTATGGGGTGATGTCATCAGAAGGATCACCCTGAACATTGACGACAACAAGATCGTGGCTGATGAGGAGATCACACCTGAGATGACCGTCCACAAGATCCACCGAAAGTTGCCGACCGGTGTCCGCAGCATCGAGACCACTTTGGTCTACCGGAAGCGTGAAGGTCATCCTGATCCTGGACAGCCATGGCCACCACCTGAATCAGTGGCTACACCTTCAAAGAGACCAGAACTTCCGCTTCCTCCTGCTGAAGATGCACGCCTCATCGACGAAGGCATGAAAAGAGGACTTGAGAGTCCAACGAGCAATCCAAGGGCTACGACAAAAAGTAAGCTCTTTCCGGTGTGGCATGCCGATGACTACACCGAGTGGGGCAACAAGACCAACTACCCGATCGTTGCAAACATCCGCGACTTGGACCTCTTTTACAAGTTGACAAAGAATGACTGCTTCTATGTGCTTCAGGAGCTCTCCAAGCCGATCACTTACCTGACTAAGCAAAGCGGCAAAGAGCTCGATGAGAAGAAGATTCCAGAGCATGAGAAAAAGATGTTCAATGAGGCCAAGCTGCTTGAAATTCAGAATTTGGTCAACTCCAATGCCATCGAGATTGTGACCGACCCCGATGAGTGTGCCAAGATCCGAGACCAATTTCCTGGTCGCATCATGCCATCCAGGTATTTGGTCACAAAGAAGACGGGCGATGTTGGGGAGACCTGGAAGGCGAAGGCCAGATGGATCCTCCTTGGTCACAAAGACCCTGATGCATTGGAGCTTGAACGATATGCACCTACACCTTCCTCAACCACTGTCATGGTTTGCCTGCAAATCATCGCTTCAATGAAGTTCCAACTGCACATCATGGACGTAAGCAGTGCTTTTGGTCAGTCTGACCCTCATGAGAGAACCCAAGGTCCGCTCTTCGCCACGATGCCACCGACTGGAATTCCTGGATATCCACAAACAGCCATCATCAAAGTGTTGACGGCGGTGTACGGGCTTGTCAACGCTCCTGCTGTCTGGCGGAAGACCGTCCGCCGTTTGCTCTTGGACCTGGGCTACACCGAGAGTGTCTTTGACCCGTGCTTCTACTTCCTGAAGGCCCTCAAGAGCGAGATCCAAGATGGCAGCAAATTTGGGGTGGCTGGAGTTGTGCTCCTTGATGTTGATGATTTCTGTCAAGGAGGTGGAGCACGACACCAGGAACTGATGTCTCAGTTGAGAACCAAACTGAAGTTTGGGAAGTGGCGAAATGTCTATGGCGAGAGTGCCGACTACATTGGCAGGACTTTGACCCAGAAAGAGTCCTATGAAGTGCAGGTCTCCATGAAGCGCTACATCGAGAACAAGCTCAAGCCTGTGACCTTGCCGAAGGACCGCCTCAAGCAGAAAGAATCATTGCTCAACGAGCAGGAAACTTCGTGGTTGCGCGGAGTTGGCGGCTCTTTGTTGTGGGTGGGCAAGGAAGGCAGACCAGATGTTGGCGCAGCCTGTGCAATGGCTATGTCATGGAGCAGTGGAGGCCCTACGGTGGAGCATATCACCATGGCCAACAAGACAGTGGCAGAGTTGAAGATGACTCCAGAGGCTGTCATCAGGGTGCTTCCAATCTGCCCTGAGCGCGGTCTTTGGATGACCATAGCAGATGCGTCAATGGCCAACGTTGAGAATAAGTCCCAGGGCGGCTTCCTCATTGCATATGTGGACCAGGACATCACCGATGGCAAGCTGGCTGACTTTAGCATCAATAGCTGGAGAAGTCATCGCTTGAAGCGAGTTGTGAAAGCAACATTGGGTTCCGAAGCTCTTGCTATGGATGATGCTCTTGCTGAAGTCGAATGGGTGAGAGCAATGTGGCACGAAGCTTTGGATCCCAGCTCCAGCGTTCTTGATGGAACCCGACTTGGAGATGAGCAATCTCTGCTGGTGATGAGGATGCCTGAAGACGAAGAGAAGGCGAAAAGCATCCACATCCAGGACAAGGAGTTCGGCATCCATGTCACTGATGCTAAAGCGCTGTTTGACCTGCTGAATAGGAGGTCTGGAAACGCAGGCCAGGATCGACGGGCCCAGATTGACGTGGCCGTCATTTGTGTTTCGGCCAAGGCCATGAATGTGAAGACCTACTGGGTCCCGGGATCGGTGATGGTCGCCGATGCTTTGACCAAGCGCCTGGGCAACTCCGTCCTTTTGAGGCGCATTATGGCCAGTGCTAAGTATGCACTTGTGAAGCAAGACCATGAATGACCCCCCGAAGGATGAGAAACCACATGCACACGCTTGAACCCTGATCTTGCTTCACACCGCGGCCGTTTCTTACTTCCTGCAATCGCAGGGCCCTTGAGCCACTTCGTTCGCGTGAAAGCCATTTGCTGCGCTGCTTCGCGGTTCGTCAGATCCAGAAGGCAGCCATTTTGGTCTAGTTGGAAGATCCAGAATCCAAGCACGTGTTTAAAATAAACATACTCTTGGTGTTGTCTCTGCCCTCTCTTGTTCCAACGGCATTTTCCAGATGTTCAGGGTACTTGGGGATGATGGCAATGACATGCGTTGTGACAAAGCAGTGGAACTTCAGTTTTGGAACCAAGGAATCTTCAGGATCACTCGTTTGGTGAAGGCGCGGGGTGGACCTTTTCGGGGTTCTTCTCCGGTGCTTTTTTGCTGCGCCAAGCAGCAAGGCTGACAACTCGACTTCAAGAGAAGCCTCCGAAGATAGGCCGGTAAAAGGTTTGTAGTTGTCTAGGATCACAATCACAATGGCTTCATCCACACCTGGTCTTTTAGGTTCAGCCAGGCTTATGAACCTCTTCGTTTGGAAAAACACGCACTGACCTGAACGCCTGGCGCGTTTCCGGACCTCATTTTTACCGGAGTTGATCATGCAAAATACACGACTCCTGAGGTTTTCAGGACCAGACTGGACCGGACCTGGGACACCCGGCACGGTCCAAAGGGGTTTTATCATCTCGATCTCCAGGTCTTACGTTCCTTGAGCCTGGTCCGTTTCATTGGCGCGCTGCGGATCCTGGTGCATTCCATCGCAGATACCTTAAAGCCTCTGGGCTGGGCCTTGCTTCTGCTGCTTGGAGCGGCACCAGGGTCGGTCGGCAACCGGTGGTTCTGTTGGACCCAAAGGAGTTTTTATTTTCATTTTTTTGCAGTTTATATAAATCACTGAGTATCCTTAGTAAAAGAAGACCATTAAAACCATGGTTGTTGGATGTTGGAATCTAAGGGGTTTTGTTTTGGATGACCAATGACAAGGTCGATGGGATGTGACAGGCTTTGTGACGGGCGGGGGTCGCTGGTGCATCGGGGTTTGGGGTCGCCTGTGCGTCGGGCTTTCGGTGAGCGCAACATGCAAAAGTATCTCTAGTTGGGCGGCACATGAGCAGCGTTGTAACTTCCCCTCTTCATTTTGAGTAAGGGACCGGTGAACAATCACTAAGCACTATCAATTTATATTAATTTCAGCTGATGTTGGTAAGGTTTCCCTAAGGTTCGGTAAGGATCTGCAGCAGAGCACGGTACCGTGGGGTTGCGCCAGTTAAAGTCGCTTGCTTTCAATCCATCGATGGCAAGCCTTAGATCGCAGAGAAATGGCCATCCTTAGATCATAGAGAGCTGTGTGTGTGTGTGTCGGTTGTGCACGGATGTAAGATGTGATGATGTGGCCATCGATGCGTAAGCGACCCACTTTTTCGATGCGTAACTGACCCCTCCGATGCGTAAGTAACCTCAAAAGTCAATGCGCAAGTGACTCCCCTGCCCTTGTGACAGGGGATTTTTCCAGTGTGGAGCTGGTAGTTGCTTGCTGTGAACTTTGTTGATTCTTCAAGTGGCTGCAGCAGTTTGGGGGGAGTCGTGGTGCACGTGCTGTTTTGGAAAGTTGGAACCCGACTGTTTCTTCTTCATTTGCCGTGCCAGACTTGGATTCAGACTTTGAATCCATGAAACCTCATTCCGACTGAGCACCCTCAACACTTGAGGCTGATTCTCATTCAATACACATTCAGCATCTTATTTACCGACGCTGCACTCGACTTTATCTCTGTGGCACCGCCCGGCGACGCCACAGCGGAAGACATGCGGATCTACTACGGCTCGGTCTACCAGTCCACGCAGACATTGTTTAGATCTTTGTTAGGCCAGTCCAGAGCCTCAACAAAGCTGCTTCAAAACCAACGCTTCACGGTCAACGCATTTAGAGTCGGAATGACTTGATTTCGGATGTTTTTAAAAGGAAAACACCTTTCTTGAGTTTCTCGGCACGGCTTTCTTACGTTGGCACCGCAGGTGGTTTGGATTGGGCGGCGCCCGCGGAAGCCTTGAGCCCTTTAGGTATTTTTTGGGCATCTCGGATTGGAAGGGAAGGACCTCTCCTGAAGACGACCTGCGCGCCGAAACCACGGTCAAACATGGGAGTCTTAGACTCCCCGAACCGTGACTCTTGCGAAACGATCGTTTGTGTCCGGGCCTTGATTTGGAACAAACTGCAAAGCGAGGTGCAGATGTTCCATTTGTACATTGCTTTTTGCTCTCTGGCGGTTTTGAATGTCATGACAGGTGCAACTCGGCTGCATGCAGCCGCGTGTGGCAACTGGAAATGTTGATTTTTGAAGAACAGGACGGTACTTGGGTCAGCACATACTCTGATTGTTGTTGAATTTGCTGTATCTCTTTTTGGTGCTTGCCTAGAATAAGAAGCATCGACACGCACGACAGTGTTTTCATTCGTTTCACGCACGACAGTGTTGGTTGGTAATCAACATGTAAGGTTCTTGCCGCGGAATGAAGATATTCACCAAGAAACCCAGTCTCAACCAGAAACAGTTCTGGTTGTTCCAATCCGTGTTGAGATCCTTTACCCATCTGGACACCTCCGGCGGTTTCGTGGACGTCGACATTCTCAGGTCTTTTGCCACAGCGCCATCATGGCTGCGGAGCACGACCATCAGAAGTTGATTGAGAATCGGAAGCGGTGCACTCGACCGCAGGGGCCGGCGAAGTCACCCACGTCGCCCAACGCGCACGGATTCCAAACTCGCATGGATTCCAATGCCCGGTCTGTTTGATGGTCCTTCCTGCCATTGCTTTGCAAAAGATTTCACACTATAGAAAACTAGGTCAACTATTTTGTAGGGGTCGAACGGAAGGCGATCGGGCATATGTTTAGTGGTTTTCACCCAGTACAATATCCCTGGCAAATGCGCTTGAGAGCATGTATTTTTCTGGAAACACAGGGAAAGACACCGGACTCGTCTTCACAAGCCGACGGAGCTGACGGCACCTAAGGTTCAGAGGAGTGCTCGAGGAGCTCCGATCGGAGCGTCAGTCCAATCGCGTGCAAGGATGTCCCCCAAAGGGAAACCCTCACCAATCGCATCGGCTCAGCTACGAACGAAGTCCAGTTCGACCAGAGTTGACACCACCGACAGCGTTCCCATTCGATTTCTCGGGTCACTCGTCCAGCTGCGTCCCTGCGTCCTTCGTCCACGAGGACGCCGAGGTCGCGTCGGATTCACCGCGGCCTCGCCGACCGAGACCGTCCTGGGCAGGAGATTTTCTACAAGATGGATGCGGGCGGTTTCGGGAAGATCACCATTTCGCAGTTCGAGAAGATCTTCGAAGATGAGGAGACCGGGATGGACTGGACCGTTTACGTAGATGACCGGTGGGTTGGGGACGTCTGGAAGGAGAGGAAGACATTTTGAGTCGCTTTTCCTGATGTTTCCACGTGAGAAGAGGAGTCCTGTTCACAAGCTCGGTGGAAGTCCGGAGAACAACTATAGATTCATATATATACCTAGAACCTGATTGACCCCCGTTTTGGAACCAAAACATGGTCTTTTCATATCAAAACAGAGGTCAAACGGGTTCTAGGTATATATAGAGAGATTCCCATTTTCGAGATTTGTTGAGTCCTTTCATTGGAACGTAGATGGGCACTGTATGTCCAATGAGAAGCTCTCAACCACAACGTGGTCATCTACCTGTTTTATCCATTTTTATCCCGTGTCTCTGGCCATTTCAAGGGTATCAAGAGGGGAAGTAGGGGATACTATTCCAAGCAAAACATCCATTCAATTGAAACGGCCATCTTCGCCGACACTGGGCCTGGTTTGTCACCCTAGCTCGGTCACAAGCCATAATCACTGATCACTGATCACCCATTGGTATCTCCATCATTCAATGTGAGGCAACGTCCGTTGCCCCGTTCACCACCTGTTCATCGGCTGTTTGGTGATCGTCTTTGCAGTCGAGAACCAGTCCGCACGGTCCGCTGGCTTTGTTTGCCTCTACAGACGCGGCGGCGACGCGTCTGTTTTTGCCAAGTCCTTGTGGCGAACTGGGTCTTCGTCTCTCGATCTCTGAACACCTCTTCGGTTGCGTCAGAGAACGACGGTTCCGTTCGGATGTGGTTCTCTGGAGGTTTCACGGTGACGGCCGGTGGTGGCTGGTCGGAGTCCGGTCGTGCCACGGTCGGTTGCGCCTGAGGCAACACCGGTCCTTCGTGTCGATGTTTGTGTAGGCGCCTAGGATGATTCCGGTCGCCCAGCATGCTTACTTTCAAGGGTCATGACCAAACAACATGAAACAACCATGGTTAAAAACAAGGCTTCTAGACTACCAAGGCTTCCCAGGTCAAGCGAAGCATCCGCCAGCTGGGCGGCTCCGAGCTCCGGCGAGCGACCCGCCCAGGACATGAAAGCCTTCTTCGAAGCGATCGAGATCGACGCGGTCGATGCCTGGACGCTCTTTGCGCCACGGCCGAACCGACGCGTCGACGCGGTCGCAGGAGGCGACCCCAGCAGCGTTCAGAGTCAGGTGGGTATTGCTTCGGTTTTTTCCAAACGGATGGAGCAAGTGAAGCACTGAATCCAGCTGAATCAAAGTACCAGGAATATTGAAGCCCCCGGGTCGTTTTTGGGCGCCGGTGTCGGCACCCCCCCGTCGACGGTGTTTGTTCGCCGAGACCGACGCAGTTTGACCCGAAGCTTTACCATGCTGCACGTTGCGTTTTGCGTTTCTACCTCCGAAAATGGGTCATCTCATTTTAGAAGGTACGAACTGGAGGGTCCAGGTATAGTCCATCTGCGAGTTGCTGAGATTTATACACTTAGACTTCATGGTGTGTCCTTTTCTATGAAATTTGCCACCATGCCACAAATGATATGTGATCCAGTCTGCCCCTTAACAACAGACAACCTCACAACGTGGGACAGGAAGATTGGAAGACGACCCATTGGACATGCCAATGGTCTTGGTCAGTATTTCGGAGGGAAAGAGGTCCTGCCAACTGGGTCGTATCGTATGGAGAGCGATTGTGTCATAAAGTCTTCTATATACTATATACCCTGGGAGTCAAAGACTATAAAAAGAATGGTCTTTAGGGGACCTGAAAGGGAACTTCCTTTACTTCAGCCAGTCAAAATATAGTCGAACTAGACTTCTAGGGTTCAACCGAGAGACGAAGACCCAGAATAGCGATGGCCTCCAACCAAATAGCTATACACTATATATATGTATATATATATATTATATATATATATATTCCTTGACCCCAAGGGCTCTGACTCCTGGCTGGAGAGGACAGGTTGCCGAACGGTTGACCGGGTGTTTCTGGGGGTTGCTCACCAATCCCTAGGTTTTGAGGCTCTGGATGTTGTTGGGTTGTTTTGGTCTTTTGGATACGGATTTTAGACTACAACACCAGGTCCACAGACTGATTCATGGTCGAACGGAAGGCTTTTCCATATGAGCATTTGATCCCTCGACTTTCCCCGACATTCCTCCTGCTTAGTAGGGAATGATGGAATTTTCGCCACCTCAAAATCCATTCCCTCAGGATCCGGACACCCGTCAGACCCGTCAGGGGTTGATCGTTCCTGCCCTTTTGGACCCGATCGTCGCGCGACGATCCCGAAGACACGGTGCTCGAGGAAAGCTTAGATGTGGATGGTGACTTCGTGGTGAGCATCGATGAGTTTGTGGAGCGGTGCATGCAGCTCCATGGCAGTGCCCGATCGGTCGACTTGAAGCTTGGCAGGAGAAAGGCGGCCTGAACTGGAAGATCGGGCGGACTGTAGACCCGTTCGCCGTCGGTTGGACCATTCAAAGAAAGGTTTGACCTGGTGGTCTGGAATCCTTAGTAAAACAATGGCTGTTTGACGCTGGAATCCTGGGCGCACAGCACACACACACATATTACATATATATATATATATACACACACACACCTACAACCGTTTGACCCCTGTTTTGATAGGGAAAGACAATGTTTTGGCTCCAAACACAAGGGTCATCCAGGTTCAAACCTGAGTGGTGCCTTGTTTTGGAGGATCAATTATCCCAACATGTGCTTTTTTTTCCCATTAAACTTGCTCACCCATGAACTATCCAATGCGATTTTCGCTGATAGGGGGCGACTGACCAGTCGTCATTTTGTTGATATACTTGTTGCTACTTTGCATTTGGCATGCGTTATTTGATCATACGACCAACAACAAACATATACTGTATAATGCACATGTGTATGGGGCCAAACGATTGGATTTGGTAAAGAGGATTTCTGCAATTTTCCATCATTTAGAAGAACAACCCAATCTAAGGCTTCTGTTGCAACTTATAAACCAAGTCTTCTTGCTGCCAAGTGCAGGTCATCCTGACATTAACTTATGTTTCAATATATATATATATACACACAATTTCTTTACTGATCAAGTACAGTATTCGATCAAGATGATCATCATGCTTACGCTCGCACTTATATATATATATATTATATGTAATCCAAACTATTTGAGTCAAGTCAAGTGGTATTGTGAGTGAAATCTATGCGTGGCAACGATTTCAATGAAGGACGCCTAGCCTTGCGCGTTGCGTACGCGTGTGCCATTTCATACCAAGCCCCCTGGCCTGGCCAGCCACTACCTCACCTCAGGTATGCCCTGAAGCAGCAAAGCTTTAAGATGCGACAACAGATGGACGATCTGGAGGTGATGCACAAGAAAATGGCCAAACATCTTCTCTTCCTCTCGCACATCGGAAAGGCTGGACTGAGTAGCGATGCTTTGGAGGCGCTGGTGCCGGGTGGAAGCGTCCATGGCACGATCTCCGCAAATGCCTTGTCAGTCTAGAATGGTGATGGGTCCGATGGGTCTTCATCTTATCCCGCTTCCTTTCTAGAAGTGACCGAAGGAAAGACGTACCAGTGAGAAAACAGTTTGTGATCAGAATTTCATTTGCGACCAAATCTGATTTGCTTGTTTAGCCCCTGCCCTCTCTTAGAGAGGAGGGAGTCTGAGTCAGTCTGGGTTAGCGAATCTGTCTGACCCTGCGTTCGAAGCTTCAGTGCTGCCCTGCACCGAGCTGAGAGCTTGAAGAAGTTTCTTGGCTCTGTCCAGTGTCTCGTGTGCCTTGAGCCAAAGAAACACACTCTCTGACCTGAGAACTGAGAACTGTATAGAGTCTAGAATAAACTCAGTCCAATTTGCCAATGGTATTCCCAAGAAGGCACTCCCCGGACACCTTCTTTTGTCCCCCGCTCCGCGGGAGCCCAGCGGCACCTGTCCACCCGCCGAACGGCGGGTCCGGATCCCAGCTTCGGCACAGCAGCTGCCGGCGCAGCAGCCGAGCCCGAGCCCTCGGTGCGAAAAAGCGGCGGTGAGAGACAGGTGATGGTGGAGATGGAAGTGGCTTGGGAGATGGAAGTGGGTGGATTGCCTCGGCATCACTCCCCCCCCACTTCACGACGCAGGACTCGCTCTTCGCGAAAGAAGAGATCGCATGTGGATTCCGTCGTCGTCGGTATTTGTTGGGACCCAAACCCCCACGCTTTCAGAAAGGCTTCGCCCGGAAAGGCTTTCAGTTAGACTCCGTGCTCGGTTCTCGGTTTTTTTTCCCTGCTCCGTGCCCGCGGAGGTGGGTAGATGTGAGCCTTGGCGGTGCCTCTCTCTCTCGCTCTCCTCCGTCGTCCGTCGTTCGTCGTTCGCCCTCGGTACTTCGACGGAGGAGACGGAGACCCTCCGAGGCCTGTACCTGTCGGAATGCCAGCTGCTGGTCTCGGATCCGGGCGCGGTGAACCAGATTTGGCACTGCGACACTTGGAGCCGGTGAAGCGCCGGTGAAGGGAGGAGGGAGGTCGGCAGGATGCGGGTGGTTCTGTTTGTGCTGAAGGATGCGGAGGAGGGGCCAGCATGGAGGTCAGGTGCATCTAGACCCCTCAGATGCTCCGTCAACAGCCCGACGTTTGAGAACCCAGACCCATAATGATCCCTGTATATGAGGGTCCGTGAGTCTTTGGGTCCATCATCTTTTCTACAGAAAACAGCACTCGTCATGCGCAGTTCTTGGGCGGTTCGAACTTTCTCTTCCCACTCGTTCGTACGACCAACGCTCTCGGTCCACATTGCGCTGCGCGTGCCGAGGACAACCTCCAGCCGGGTTTGACCATGATTCTGCCGCTGACTGATGTGGACGAAGAGTTGGGTCCTACCCACCTTCTCCCAGGACCGAACGATGCCCGGGCGGTCCGCGCGTTGCTCCTCACCACGCGCGGTACCGCTCCTCCGCCTGCCGCCTGCGCGCGACGGTGGGTGGAGCGGACCCCCAAAACGACGAGCGATGGTGGCACCGTGCACCGAAGGTGGTGCTGGAAGGGGGGGGCGCGTTCGACCGAATGAGTGCTTTTGTGGAGAGGGAAGGCCAACTGCAAACTGGAACGAGTTTTACGCAACTTCGCCGAAAGCCCGTGACAGTTACAAAACCATTCACCGTACGGGTCTTTGAAAGTCTTGTGTTGGCATTGTAGAGACCACATGAGACAACCTGTGGCCTGGAGAGATTGCTTTCCGCCATTGTCTCTTCAAGGCAGACAGTTTAATTGCTGTAAAGGGACTATTGCAGGAAGCAAACTTCAGCAAACTTCCAATCTTCCACATACAAGACAACAACCCTTTTTTTGGAAAGAAAAACACCTGCTCCATGCTCCAGACCCTGCCACGCCAAAAGCCAAAAGCCCCAGGGACGCATCACCTCTTCAGCGGTGTCTCAGACCTGAACGGTTGGGAGACCGGAGACCATCCGGGGGAACCGGTGCAACGCTCGGTCAGCGCAACCGCTTTTGGACCATACGGAGACTCGGGGAGGTGTCAACCGTTCCGGTGGAGTCGCCAGTACCAGGTTGTCGTGAGAAGAAATGCATTCTTCAAATCCAGGTACCATTTCTTTGCGGTGATTCTTCCATCTGAGATGTGCGCCTACGTGCGACGCGCAAGCTGCTTGTTCACATGCGGCGTAGCATCCTAATTGACACTTTCCTCCACCAACTGCAATCTATGTGAGTTGGAATCCGGTGCAATCTACCAAGGTGTTGTGGTTTTTGTTTGGGGTATAGGGCTGTTCACCTCTCTCGGTATGTGTGAACTTCTTGATTTCTAAGCAACAATCATGGTAGTGGGAGGGATGGTCAACGGTTGCGGGAACGGGTAAACACTGTGAGCTGCCAATCTGAGCTTGGGAAACCGCACTTCAATGAATTTTGGCATGCCAATTTTGCACCATGGCATATATATATATATTACATATGTACTTAACTCCGGATCATCCAACCTGGGCCTACCATGTTTGGCCTTTTCATCCACAACACCAGCTAACTTAGGTAGACAAATTTGCACAGGTTTTTTCAGCTCCATATCTATGGCACTTTACCACTACTGGACCGTGCTGTTGATTTTCATTTTGGCTTTCACTCTTTTGTTTGAAGTTTAGTTCTGTCCAAAACAGGCCACGCAGGGCTGGATTTTGGAGAACTGCTCCGCTTCGCCACGAACGAGGCGCGCTCTCGGCGGCCTGGAAGCCACTCCTGGCGGCGGGTGGGACGGTGGCGCCTCAGCCGCTGCGGCCGGGCGAGGCGCCCCGAGCGGCCACTGGTGGTGCAAATCGACCGTCTCCCAAATGCTTGGAACGAAGAAGTCTCGCTGGGGCATTTCCGGTTCCCCTGAGTTCACCTTCTCAATTAGCCTGTCATGAAGGTGGACCTTGTTTGGTCTAAAACCCAGTTTTAAACAGACATGTTCTCTAACGCTAAAGGCTATGACAAAAATTGATGATGGGCGAAGGTTCTCCCAACATCGGCACTGTCCTGATGGTTTCTCACAGCCTGATTTCTAAAAGTCCACCCACCCACCATGAATTTCATAGGCTGAATCCCGCACCACCATTGCTTTACAAAGGGTTTTTACACCACAAAACCGTAGGTCAACCCTTTTTTCATGGTCAAGTCCGGACGTCCAATGTGATGACAGCCAACCAAAAAGATCACGGTCCGGACTCCGAAACGGAGCTCGAAACCCCACTCCGGCGCTCCCAACGGCGCTCCGAGTGGATGTTGCTAGGCGCTGGTCTATGATGCCTCTTGAGCTGCAGTTCTAAGAACTACCAGGTTTTACCTGCAGGCTATTCCGGATTTGAGCAGCCATTGTTTTACTAAGGAGTTTACACTACAACACCAGGTAAACCATTCTTTTGAGGGTCTTTGAAGGCTAGGGTATTGATTTTCCAGCCCTAAAGCTTCCGATACTGGGTGGTGCTGGTTGTTCTTGTCATTGCTTTGCGATTTGCGTGCATGAAAAGATTTTCCCAAACGGACTGGAAGCAAACGGGCTGGGTGTCTGGCCCCCACCATCGACATGAGAACAACGGTCTGGACACAAAGCCCACCTCCGCAATCGAACAGATCACCGCGACTCTTGGCCGGTTCTGTGGCTTTTTATCATATATTATATATATATAATATATTTAACTAGATACAACGACCATGCTGAACAGGTCATTTCAGCACCCAACTCTACAAATGACCACCTGCGACCTTTGAAGTCTGCAAGTGGCCGCTTCAGCCTTCTTCGTTCGACCTATTTCGGAGACTCAGGTTGGTTGGTACCCAAACATCCTTCAAACCGTGCCGTGCTTTTGTCGCACCGCGCTTTGCTTGGATCGGCTCGCGTTCGGGGCGGTTCGGTCCGTGCGCGCCGCGCGTTCGCGCCGTGGGGTTCGACCGCTGAGGCTCGCGTGCTTCACCGGGGTTTGGCCAACCGATCCTACAACCACTGTCGAGTGGCCCCTCGGACCGGGGGACCCTCAGCGGGAGCGGCGGAGCGACGGAGCGACGGTGTAGAGGAGCGGAGCGCCGGTCAGGGTGACGGGGGCAGAGGAACATGGTGACATCGTGTGTGACCAGTGCTTTGTTTAGAAAAACGACCGGTGTGACGCCTTTTGAAAGACTTGCAGTTCTGGGGAAAAGGAACTTGGAATGTTCACCATGTCATAGCTTTGGGATGTCATAGCTTTTGCACCAGTCACCGGATAGATCTTCAGTAGGCTGCTAGTAGGTGCACCGATGTGTGCTGAATCAACGCACGCCCGAGCACACATACAAAGTGTCCTTTGATTCGATGGATGAACACCTCAGATCAGGTGTAATCGAATTTTCCATCCACTGCTTCCTGAGTGACCTTTGTTTTGGAGCCAAAAAGAGGGTTTCCCATCAAACCAGTGCTCAAGGTGCAACCTTCCGTTGTGTCCAACGGGGTGTCCCTTTTCGCCTACCGGACGCGGCGCGGTCTCGAGGTCCTCGTGATGCGACGCTCGGCTGGAGATTCACCTTCTTCGGTGATCTGGTGACGTCAACGGAGAAGTCATGGTTTTAAGCCGTGGAGGTAGGATGATGGCTATGGCAGGATAGTCGAGACAATTCTTTTACCAGTTTTTTAGTTTTACATCGCAAGCTATCGCTTCAATCATCCATACCAGCAGGTTGTTCAAGGCAGTTGGACACGTGGTTAATTTCTCATGAAACAGCAAGACCGCAGGTCAACGACACGGCAGGTGCTGGGTTTGGCTTCAACTTGTGTCTCTCCCAAAAACTGGGACGCCCAGCTGGCTGTAGGCTAAGGCTTATAAGGGACTTGTTGTTTTAGTTGCTCCCCCAGACAAGCCGAATCAGGCTTGGATATGCTTGACACTCCACCACCAGGAGCAACAGCACCTTGGCTTGTTTTGTCGGGAGCAGTTGCAGTTGTCCATCAAAAGAAGACATTCGCTGCCGAATGTTCAGTGCTGATTCTCCCCTGCAATCTGGTGACCTGGTGCTGGTGCAAGTGATAAAGCTTGGCCACGGAAGTGTTTAGTGCCGAGGTCTTAAAGCCAGACACCGGAAAGCCCTGCATCACCACTACACCAACTCCCTCGCCCAATCCCAAAAACATCAACATAAAAGACAATTTGAGGGCAAAAGAACCAAAACATGTCCACAGAAAAACAACATCAACAGCAAGGTTTGTACTTTGAACATCTTTGAACCGCGATAAGCCCATCACAACAAGCCGAACACCGGCAAGAAAAAGCAAGCATCAAAACCCGGGTTACCCGGTCCCACCGTACGGGTTTGGGAGATGAGAGGTTTGAGTGCTAAGCCGACAGTCAGGGTTCACATCAAGACCAAACTGAAGACCCCAAAGGGATCCAAATGGATTTGCTTTCTCAATACTAGTTCCTGCACAGAGTTTTTAGTTTATGGAACTATAGGTGGTCAGATGCAGGATTCTGCATGATTCTGCGCCTTTTTGGTAGAGTGTTTAGAGTCTAAGTGGGCATGGCTAACTTGCGCGAGACGATCAACGAATTGCTTGGCACATGGCACATGGCACGAAATCCCCAAGAACCTCGAGCAGCTCCCATCCAAACTCCCCAACTCGGCACTCGTTGGACGACGAAAGGTGCGGCATGTTTTTGGCTCAGCGGAGCAAGACCCCGATGTCGGCCCCATTCACGGTCGTGGACGCGCGGTTTTTGCGTGTTTTGCGTGGAGATCCATGTCTCCAGGTGTTCCAGACGGCCACTCTCAGAGGGCTTGGTACTATGCTACAAGGACTGAGTGTTCTCTACAAGCTTCTACCAGGGCCGAGAGCGTCGTTTCCAGCGGCGAAGACCAGCTCCTCCTCCGGCGGAGAAGCCGAGTAGTTAAGACCTGCTCCGTCCGAAACACACGAAGGATGCTGTGCAGGACGGGAGCGCTCCCGCCCGCCCGAACGGGTGCCGAAAGCACCGTGTGTTCGGAGAACATCTGTGAGCGCCCAAGGAAAAAGAGGGAGAAACCTGTGGGTGCTAGTCCTGTGGGTTGATGTATGGGGAGGAAGGAAGACCACGGATGATTTCGACCTTGTTCATTTCCAGGTCGTCTACTGTGGGTTGATGTATGTGTTTACTGTAGGTGGACATGTCGTCTTTACATGTGTTTACTGTTTTGATTCGTTCTCTTTCGTCCAGCGCTATGAGCACCGCGTTCGCGGCGGCCATCACATGACCAGCTCTGTCAGGTGTGAACCCCAAGCAGAAGCCGAAGCAGTTCCCAAGGCATTTTCTTTCCAGGGTGGCTCGAACTTGGAAGTTGAACACTTCACTCAACTTGCTGTGCTTGGCTTACAGCCTTGCGTTGAAGACAGGATGTGGCGAGCAAAGCACCGCTCCAGTCAGATCAGTGGTTCCCGCACCACACACCAAACCGCACCACGAAAAGAGCAAACACCATAAAAATAGAATGCCACACATAGTGGCATAAAAAGAGAACCATAAAACACTTAAATAATACAAATATCTAAACAATCATACGTATAATAACAAACTTTCAATCTCTTTAAACGGCAAAAAAGAACAAAGAGGCCGCAGCGGGAGGTGTTGCAGTGGACCAAGCGTGACACTTCTGATCGATTCAGCTGGGGGTCATCAGCAGCCGACGTGACCGTAGAGATCTCAATGTGACCGTGGTGGACAGCTGCGGGATGCAGGTGTGCGCCACGGGAACACGTGGCGGGCGCACGTGGCGGGTGCACGTGGCGGGCGCACGTGGCGGATGGCGATGTTGCCAGTTCTGAAGTTCTTTTTTTTTCTCCACATCTTGCCATTCTGATGCTACTTAGCTTATTCAGTTGCCATCTCTGATCTCTAGCTGACAAGCCTGCTCAATGTTTTTGTTTGAAGGGATGCTGCAGCGACTTAAATCTTATATACCCTTTATATCCCTTTATAAAATAGGCATGGCTGGGGCAGAACAGACAAGGCGGGACTTGATCCGACTTCACGATCAAACGCTGAAAGCTGCATATTTGTTTTGTTTCTTTGTGAGTTCGGTGGTCCTAATTCCACCATCCGGATGTGTTCGACTTGCAAAACTACAGTTCTCTCGGCAAAGCTACATGGCTGGCGGATCTTCCAGCAGCTAAGCTTAGCGACGATCAGGCTTGCCATGATCAGTGAATCCTCAGAACACATCCTCAGAACGAATCCTCTGATTTTCACCTCCCCCTACTTTGACTTGGTCAATGTCCACACTTCACTTGGTTTGGCTACGGGTGAATCCTCCTTCTGGTCGAAGATGTCTTTCGTTTCTTCCCGCTATTTTTCCAGCCAAATCCCTCCTTCACCGCGCCATTTCCGCTAGGCCAATGGCCATGCGTCCTCCACTTCCGACCCCGCACGGCGACGCCGCGTCTTCAGCTCCCTGTGGCCCGTGCTCTGCTGTCGCTTGGGCTGAGCAAAAGGGGCCGGTGGAACGGCCGGGGGAAGCCGCCATCCGAGTGAACGGCGCGGTCCGAGTGAAGGGAGTGAAGGGGCCGGGTGGGACCGGTCGAAAACGCCCCGGTCGGGTCACAGCGGTTTGGACCGAGCAGACCGAAGACTCCGGAAGACCACGGAAAGTCGTTGGGTCCATGTCACTTTGTTGGAAGGACACCCAGGAAGAGACGTCGACATGGAACCGAACGGCATGGACCAGACTGGAAGACGATTTTCCTCTACAACCCGACGTGGTTTTCAGGTTCCATGTTAAATTTCCAGTGTGTACTATGCACTCCTTCCTACCTGGCCTGAGGCTTACTCTATGCACCCTGTGTGACCTACAGCGAGTGGCAGCTCTGCGCGTGGCATGGGAGTTGTGATGCAGTTGGTGGTGGAGACATGTTTGGATGAAACCACCTGAGAGGTGCACCAATTGAAAGCATGTGTTTGCTATTATATATATATATATTATAATATATGCTCGGAGTCAAAGACTATAAACAGAATGGTCTGACTAGGTGACCCGAAAAAATAATTTCCTTTACTTCAGTCGGTCGAAAGATAGTCTTTGGACTTCTAGGGAAATATATAAAAATATATATAAAATCATTTTTGAATTGAACGGCGGGTGCTATGCACAAAAAGATATAGACACGCTCACTTGACATTTGTTTTGATAGGAAAAGCCCCTTTTTTGGGTGGTTGGTGGTTCAAAAACAGAGGTCACAAGAAGGCTCGATACTCTGTGGGTTGGGCGGCGGGGCCGTGCCTTGGTGGCTACAAGCCGACCTGACCGCGGATCAGACCATGTGGTTTTCACCTCGACATCGGGGTCAAAGGATCCGGCCTTAGACAGTATGCCCTGTTCCAGTGGTTTCAGAACATCCGATGGTACCAACATGTGCTATCGAAGCTCCGAAACCACGTGAACACGGCAAAGAAGGTCAACCCAGGGCACCAATGATGAAAAGACAATCTGTGGGTGCCATCGAACTCGCCTCTGAAACCACTGAAAAGCACGGTAGTAGGGCACTGCGTGGCACCGTCTCGCACCCGCTTCGTCCCTCCAATCCGAGGCTCCTCCGCTTACCCGTCCAAACCGCGGCCCAGGTATATCGACGAGCTCTTCGCGGTGCTGCGCAACGAAGACGCCCGGGGAGAGACCAGCCTCACACAGGCGCAAACGAAGACGAATGATGAAGAGCAGACGAGTACACGACACAGGATCCTGACGATGTCAGGTAGACTCTTGATGCATAACCCGCGATACTTGGATGATCAAACCTCTTCATATTTTCAGGGGTTGACATATCATCAAGAGATATCAAGAGTCCACGTTCATGACGGTGGACGGGTCGAGCCTTCTTTCCTCGCGGTGATCAGCTGATAGTACGTCTGTGTGGTACGATTGGGTTGCTTCCGGCTTCCGCCAATGTTTGTGTGGGAGATCAGGCGTCAGAAACGGTGGGGATATGCTGGCTAACTTTTGTTCGGCTGGTGGTTTTCTATTGGCTACTTGTATGAGATGCCATGAGCTAAAAACCAACGGAAACCATCCAGCACAAAGAAACAACTTTTGCACCACCTTTCAGCTTGCTTTGCTCTGGGGGTGTCTCTAAAAGCTCACCTACTCAATGACAACCCTCACCGGCTAAGAACTTCCCCCGGTTGGCGGTCCGACCACAAAACCACCTTCATCAGTCTCTCGCCCCAGCCAACCGTCCTGTTCCGCCCAAGAACAGTCCCTTTCGGAACGACGACTTCCCGCCAGGTCTTCAGCAACGACTTTTGGGGCAACCCTCTGTGGGGTCAAAGTTGGACGCACAAGTCCTATCGTCCCCTGGCTGTGCTGAGCTTCGCCTGGCAATTTCGCTTCCTGGGCGAGGAGAGGGCGAGAGAGCGTCGTGGGTCTGTTTGGGTCTGGGGGGTGGTGGAGCCATTGAGGAAGATGACTTGGGCAGTCTATGGCCGTGCTGACGACGTGATCACTTGGGAAATGGCTTAGGAAACAACCAGGTGATGACTCCGATGACCATCTGAGAATTTGAGAGTCACACATCTTGCCGGTGATGGCTTGACTGTATGTCATCCAGGTGGTGATTACTTTTTTGTCACGGGAGACTTGCAATGTGTTTCAGACTAGAGTTGTGACATAACAGAGTGCTGTATAGAGCAGTTGTGACATAACATCCACAGTTTTCCTTGCAATGTGTTTCCTTGCAGCGTTCTGACATACTTCTCTTTTTGGCGTGACATGCTCGCAGCCCGGCACTTGGGTCGGTTCAAGAGCCTGCGAAGGCCAGGCTTACGTCTAGATTCAGATGAGGCATCAATCAGTATCAGCCTTTAGATTCAGATATCAGAATTGCATCAGCTGCCAACATCAAGATCCTGAGATTTATCTACCTTCAGTGGATCGGATCTCAGCCAATCAAAGAACCTATCAACCAGCACCATGGAAAGGTTTATCACGGAAGCTAGCTTCAGCGTTGGCTGGAGTCACTCTTGCTTTAACAAGTTATTGGCTCGGGGATGGAATCGGCTAGCCAGTGAATTCTCCACGCAGCGTCGGCTGACCACTGGGTGGTTGAGACCTTCAACAGAACTCCTGACCTCTTGGATTCTACCATGGGCCCCATGCGGAGTGGCAACACCCGCTCGCCTAGCGCTCCGGCGGCCCCTGCGGAACCGGCTCCTGCAACAGACAGGACGTGGGTTGGAAACCCAGACGGGAGGACTCAGAGGACGACAGGCAGCTGGACATGTTGGTCTCATTCCGATCCCGGAGGTGACAATCAACCTCCCTCAAAATCCACCAGGGTCTCCGGGTCTCCCTCAAAATACCGACTCCTACGGTGCTTCCCTTGGAACCCTGCTTCGTCACTCCTACGGTGCGCTTAGACTCCCCAAGAACGATCGCCAGACGCGAGGGTCGCCAGGGTCGCCAGGGCGCGAAGAAACACCGGTGAAACGGCCGTCACATGGAACCTGACCGTTTGAAGGAACGAGAGCCTGCAAAGGACGGACGCCAGCATGGGTCGTTCGTTGGCTCGTTGGCGCCAGTAGACCATGTAGCAGCCGTGCGGGCCGTGCGGCCGCCGGTCTGCCATGACCCACAGCCATATGCATTGATCCCCTTTTCAACGATATACCGACCCCACATGTAGGGTGAACAGGCTAGTCCCATCGGGGTGTGTTTGCGCCATAGATGGCCTGACCGTCGTTGGGGACCGTTATATAGGTGAAGAACCAATAGGATCCAATAGGTATATAGTACCTGGCATGGACATCAACCTATATTGTGGCTTTTGAACACTCTGTAGTATATGTATAATATAATATATATATATACTGTATGTATCCTAGAAGAAATCCAAAGACATTCCTAGACTTGGAGCACCAAGTCAGGCCATTTTTAAACCATGGTCGACTCGACTTTCACGGTATACCTAATATCATGTTTTTTCTCCTATCCAAGCAGAGGTATATATACCTAGAACCTGATTGACCCCTGTTTTGGAGCCAAAACATAGTCTTTTCCTATCAAAACAGAGGTCAAATGGGGTCTAGGTATACATACACCGAACGGCCGGACAGCAAATTCATAGACCCCTCCTTGTGGGTGACCCTTTTTGATTCTGGTTGTGAAGAACCATGAACTCCATGGTGGGCCAATCCTTTTGCGGTGCCCCGCACCCGACGAGAAACAGGCCAAATTGAGACCTTCACTTTTCAAAACGGAAAAATCACCGACTGTGATTCAGACTCTTGGAGGATGCAGAATTGATCTTGATGTGTATACCCTAGCCTTCAAAGACCATTAAAGGAACGGTTGAGCTGGTGGTGTAGTGTAAAAATCCTTAGTAAAACAAGGGTTCTTTGGTAAAGACCATCCAAACAATTGTTGTTTGAATCCTAGCGTATATACATATATATATATATATATACGTTTCATATAATGCAATATAATATAATATAATGTCATATAATGCAAGTATACACACACTTACACTGCATCTCATTTAAAGACACCTCTTTTGCTTGAGCTGTGCCCCTCCAGGACAGATGCGCCCCTGGTCTCCCGAAGTGCCAACGATGCGGACGTGACGAGCCCCAAGAGCACCGACGTGACGAGCGCCAAGGATCCAGGCGATCCGGAGACTGGCCTGTCGCTGACGAAGGAGATCCCCACGGAGATGCCGAAGTTTGATTGTTCAATGGCAGGTGCGACACGTGTGGGTGGGCAGGTGGTGGGCAGGTCGAGATGGGGTGTAGGATGCAGCAGCAGTCCAACACTACTCTATCCCCAACGCTTCCAAGATCATTTTAAAGATTGAATTTTTAACATCGCTTGGTTGTTACCTGACCTTCGTTGCGTTGGTGCCAGGCTTTGCCGCGCTGGGCTTCAAGGTCGTCGACCTCTGTGGACTTCCGTCCCCGCCAGGCGGAAAGAATGATGAGTCGATCTTGGTGGGCCCACGCGCGCTTTATTTATCCCACACCGTGTGCTGCGTTGGGTGGGGGTTCTTATGGCTTTGTTGGGGCCTCTACTGTTTTTTTTTATTCGCGCGTGAGTGTGTGGCTCATGGTCCTGCTCCTCATCTCGAAAGGATCGTATTTCTTTTACTTTTTTTGTCAGTGGACCAGCTGCCCATTGGAGGAGACATTGTCTCTCTTTGCGTCCTCAAAGATTTGCATATTGACTTTGGTGGTTCGAATCCACCCTGGTCCGTGTTGTTTTGCTTGATTTGCGCCATTGAAATTTAATCGAGAATCGCTTCATTCTTTTCACCGCGTCGTCGTCAATTTTTGTTTGGTGGGAGTACTGCCGGCTGAGTCACAAAATCTTTCCAAGCCTTGTGCCGGAAACAAATTCTTGGTCCAATATGGCAACTGAGGCCCCCCAGATACAGGTGGTTGTTTAGGCAACATCCGCTTGTTTTTGGGCGTTTGGATTTTTGGTTTTTGTCTATTCAGTGATTTGCTTGTGCACCCTGACGCAATTTTAGTTTCCTGTCACTTCAAGAACTCAGCCTTGTGACTTTTGGCTAAATAGACATACCTGGACCTTCAAGGGGCGCCCAATGGAGATCCCTGAGTACTGTAGGGGTTTCTATTGGTGGCCCCTTTGAAGGTGCTGGTTGTTTGTCCTATTTTTAGAAGCTTTTTAACCCCATGTCACAACCTTGATCCCATCGAGGCTTCTTGGCACATTTGCCAGTAGACATGTCCAAAAAGAGTGTCTCTCGAACCGTGCCCTACCGTTCGCCCTTCACCTCTCCCCCAGCACCACGAACGGACCAAGACCCTTAGGTCCGCAAGCCGCTCCGCAAGCTCCGGCTTCGCGGACCGCTGAGGTGGTTGGCTTGGTCCCTTTGGGTTCTTTCGACTGGTCACGTATGCCTTTATCGCTTGCTCCCTGCTGGCGATTGTTTTAGGCTTAATGGCAGCAACAGGACGAACGGGACCGATCGGTGGACCGGTCGCAAAAGGCAACGGGACCGATCGGTGGACCGGTCGCAAAAGGCTCGAAATGAGGCTGACAGCAGTGAAGACAGTGACTGCCTTCATGGTGGTTCTTCAACCAGGTTTTACCCTGGTTTCTCTAGGTTTTTCTACCTCTTTTTGATGCAGATCCGCAACGGGGCACGGAGGGTTTGAGCTTCTTTTTACGCCCGAAAAGGCCCGCTCTTGCAGGACAACCTTTTGCTGGCGTGCCATTCATTGGAGGGCAGCCGGATGGTTTTGCGACTTTTGCCGCCTTGTTGCTATGCTTTGGTGCGATTGTGTCTGCGGGGGCCGCGTATGCCCATGAAGGCTTAGAACAAGAAGTAACAGCGATGAAGAAACAAAACGATATCTTCAAAAGCAAGAATGAAATGCTTGCTGCGCAGCTGAACGACCTGAGCGATACGCGTGTAAAGCTGCAAGCAGTTCAGCAGAAGATGGGAGAGAATCTACAACAATTCGAAGAGACTTTGCAAGAACTGCACACTGTGAGTTGCGCGGAACTACTGCAACTGATGCTCGAAGCCTTCATCACTGCTGACACCTCAGGTCCTTTCGTTTGAGAATCTATATAGCACATTTTGATCTGCTGAGACCTCAAGAATCTTTACGGTCCAAACAAAATCCCCGGTCGACTGGGCCATGGTCTTCTTTCAAAAGCTGGTTTTCAGAGAACGCCCAACCGCACGACTATCCCGGGGGGCGATCCCCGGGCGAACCCCGGGAACGATCTTCCGACTCCGAAGCGGTTCTGAGGTGTGAAGGACTGCCGGTTAGTGGGCGATGAGGTAGATGCGCTCTTCGATATTTGTGAGGCTTCTCTGAAGGAAGCGGCTCCTGACTTTAACCTCGACCACTTAATCGGATCAGTGACAGAGACAGGACGCGCTTTTTTTTGGGAAGAAACACATGGTGGCATTGTTGACTAGCTTGTCTTAGGATTGTCTTCGGGAGGTTAAAGGAAGATGCCAACAGACAATAACCAGACCCTAGCCGTCCAAGACCATTAAAAGAGGTTATCCAGGTTTTGTAGTCTGTTCGTAAACATACATATTGATCGGCAAAGCCTTTTAGCGAAGGCGGGCCACGAAAGCTAGGAAGGTTGGTGATGTGTTTGCTTCACCTTCTCTTTTCCCTGGAGGAATCGGCATTTGCAACCTGCGTTTCTTAGCCAATGCGGCGGTGGCCGGGTGTGACAAGGTACCTGGCCGTTCCACCGCGATGCTGACCTTAGTGATGTTCAGCGCACATCCGGAGAAGTATGAGCATGAGCTGGCCATTGCTTTGAGGTCGGTACTGGATAAGAACGAATATGATGATGAGAAGATTGCCGCCATGTTGACGGAGAAGATGCTGGTCTTTTCTTTGTGTTTTCTTTTCTTTTGCTTTTCCCCGAGGAGTCACAAAGGAGCAGGGTGGTTTGGTTCGTCCCATCCAGTGAGTGGATGTTCTGGGCACCCCGACTTCCTCCAAGCTTGGCACCCCTTTTTTCGTTCTTTGCTCTTTATTTTTTCACCAAACAGTTTACTGTTGGGGTTCTATCTTAGAAAAATAGAGCTGGCCACTCACTGGCCGCTTGTCCTCCTCTTGTCCTTGTCTTGGCCGCGCCCTGAACTCTGTGGCCCGGCTCCGTGTCCGGGTCTTGTCCTTGTCTTGGCCGCGCCCCTGAACTCTGTGGCCCGGCTCTGTGTCCGGGCGTGCAGTTCCCAAACAGCTGGAGGCTTTAGAAAAGTATTCTTGCATTGGTTTCCACCAACATTGGAATTTTCGGAGTTGATGCCGACGCCGAAAAAATGCTGACGCTGTTTGGGGTCTATGCTGGTATAACTTAGTGAACCGAATGGATCAACAGGGCTCTGGACAACAGGATGCTCCGCTTGCTTCCGCTAAGCCCTCCACGACAACCACGAGGCGATATCTTCTTCTTTTCCTGAAGGAAACATAAGAAACCACCTTTCTGTGGGGAAAGTTTACACCTCTTCACTCATATCTTGTTTCCTTAGATTGTGAATGTGCAAAGATTTCAGTTTTCCTGATCCCGGAAGTGTTCCTTGTGTTAGGTTTTAGAAGTTTGGACCACTCGGCAAAGGCAGAACACCAAGAAACATCCTGCGGAACAAGGAGGAGGATTGCATTCCGGAGAATGTAGGAAAGGGCAACCTGCAATCTAGTACCAATGCAATAAACCTTGATGCACATGTCTCAGTTCCTATAGATAAATTGGTTTCTGGCATCTTTGGCAGCTTTTCTTTGGCTACCCTTTCTACTTCGTTTCGCTCAGGAAGACGAAGGCGAATCCGCAGGATCACGGTCGAATCTTTGGCACTCACTTGATGGATATCTCTAGGCTGGTGATGAGTGCTGACCTGGAGGGCAAGAACAAAGAAGACCAGAAACCCAGTGGCAGCGCGGCGGGGGCGCCTGCCGTCCCCCCGCCGACAACAACGAAGACGAAGCCGTCCCCAGAGCCGTGAGGGACGACGTCAGTGGACGGTGTGGACGATGGCGTGTACTGTACAGAATTCGCTTGACAGGGTCGAAGGCTCGATGTTGAGAAGGAAGAATGGTGCAAGGCTGTACAGCAAATCCAATGCAAGAAATGAGAGCGGGGAAGGATGATTTTGGAGCTCTTGAGGCTTGAGACCAGTATTTCTTGTTTCAGTACCCTCACTGCCAGGTCTTTAGTTGAGGGTTGGGGGGCGGGCCCAGCTTCCCAGCTTTAAAAAATAAGTCTCTAAGTTTAAGAGGTGACTAGAGTTGGGTCCTTCTACGTTCTCGACATGTCTGATGTTTTTACGTTCAACCGCAGCTAGGAGCTCTTTCGACCGCAGCCCCTACGGACCTTCAATGCTGCCATCCACGCGGGCAACTCGCTGTTGGTTTGGTGCCCTGCCTGAAGAGAATCGTCACGCAGACCGTCGTAGTTCCACGGTGTTCCACCCACTTTCCCTGCTAGTCCTTTGGTGCGATACGTTTATATACTAAACCCTTGCCGGGCAGAGGGGGTGGCATGAGCGTTCACATGGGTGCGAGTGTAGCTCAACTCTGGTTGCTGTGGCCGCATGATTTTACACTTGTCTCCCATTTGTCTCCCACTGTCTCCAGTCTCCGCATGAATTTTACACTTGTCCCGTCCCGCATTTGTCTCCCACTTGTCTCTGGTCTCCTGCGCTGTGGGTGCTTTGGCCGCATGAATGATTTTATAATTGTCTCCCATTTGTCTCCCACTTGTCTCCCACTGTCTCCAGTCTCCTGTGGGTGCTTTCTTTGTCTCCCACTGTCTCCAGTTCACTGTCGATGCTTTGGCCGCATGATTCTGGACTTGTCCCAGTCTCCAGTTTGTTGTGAGCACACCGTCTCCCATTTGTCTCCCACTGGTCTCCGCAGTGGAGACAGTGGGAAACAAGTGTAAAATCATGCAGCCGGAGCACCCACAAAAGACTCGTTTGTGGGTTCTTTGGCGCATGATTTTGTTTACACTTGTCTCCTACTTGTCTCCCACTGTCTCCAGTCCCTTGTGGGTGCTCTCGCCGCATGATTTTACACTTGTCTGCTACTTGTCTCCCACGGTCTCCAGTCCCTTGTGGGTGCTCTGGCCACATGATTTTACACTTGTCTCCCAATTTTCTCCCGCTGTCTCCTCTTTGTCTCCTGCTGGTCTAACCTCACAAACTCATGGTGCGAAGCTGTTAGCATTTTTAACCAAACAAAGCGTGATAAAACCACGTGTCAGTGCAACTCAGCATATTGAGAAACAAACCCAGAAGGTCCGAGTTGATCACTGCGAGCTGGAACGGTTTGAGCCGTTGACTGTTTGACAGTTCGTCTCTGTGGCTTACTTCATAAACGCACAAACTGTTTGGGGTCTATGCGGGTATAATGTTTCCAGCAATCTGTGCACCTGGTGATTCACGAGGCTCTTGCTGCGGCGCTTGGGCTTGCGGAACTGGGCCTCCTTGGCCTCGTGCCTCTTTGCAGCGCATCCGGTTCACGTCCGGGCCGCCCTGGGTCTGTTTTTTTCAGAGGGACTGGATGAAGCGGGACTGGACTGGTCCGCCCGGTTCCCAAACCCTATGTGTTGCACGCTTACCGGTCCACAATGGTGTCCACAATTGAATGTGCGCATCAAATTCTCCTTCCCCAAAAGTTGGCCGAAAGCCTGGCGAGAGTGGCTGAGGGATTCAAGAATCTGCTCCGTGCGACTCTCTTCAGGTCGAGAACATCGTCTACCTGGTGGGCCGCCGATGGCTGAGTGATGTATTTTTCAATGCGTTTTCCATCCAATCCTTGGGACGGGTCATGGGTTTCCACCGAAGTCGAAGTCGAAGCTGATGGCAAATTCCCACAAGAAACGATCCGACCAACTTCGGAAAGAACACATCCAAAAATATAGACCCCCAAATAGACAGAAAACTACGATTCCTTTCAACGTGTATTGGAAACCGTACCACTATTTATTTGGGGACCACTATAAGAGGTTTTGAACACTGCATCACTGGAGAGTGTAGAAACTTGAGACGTTGGCGGCCTTCGCCTTAGCATTTTCTTTGAGATGGGGACTTCGTGGTTCATCCACTTGGACGCCTACAGTACTTTCCAGTTCCCTGAATGTGCTGTAACTACCGTGATGGAAGAGAGTCTAATGAAGTCTCGTATTTTTTTTTGGAGGAAGTCCTGAAATCGTTCTTTGATTGTCTTTGATTGTAACGCACTCAGGCGCGGATGTGCTTGCGACCACCGGCTGGCTTCTAGCAGCTCTAGCGCACTTGGAGGTTCGACGGCGCTGGCAGGAGCGGGGTCATCGGCTGAATCCGTTTGATCTGCAGAGATCTGAAGTCGAGGCTCATGGAGTCGTAGCTGGTGAGCTGGAAAGACATCGACATAGTTCGAGGGATGGACATGGTGCCTTCTGGTTTGTGAAAGGCAGAGAAGGTGCCGAAGTTTTTCTTGAGAGGACAAGAATTATTTGCCGAAGCTTTCTGCCGTGTTGCTGGTGACTTGGCTGTGCTTCAACACAACAACTACATTCATAGGCACAGATTGCAGTCCGAGTGTTGAGCAAGGATTTGAAGACTTGAATCTTGGAAGAAGGTTTTACGAGGCTCGCCGAACCTTCACCTGCAACACATGGATTACCAACAGCAGGACATGATCCCAACAGCAGGTTGGCAACCATATCCTCAGAAGGTAGACCCCGCAACCCCACCCCAACCACCTTCTGGGGATGTGGTTGGACCCCTAGGGTATCTACCACTCCTTTTTGGTTCGGCCGAATCAGGTGCTCCTCTGCAGCCTCTTAGCGGTGGCTGCTTGCCTTTGCAAGGACTCCACTCCTCCCGATGTGCCGGACACATCGCGAAACGAGCCAACAAACCCAACCGACCCCCGCAGAGACCATCAGAAAAGTATGTCATAGGGACTCGGTGCATGAGAACGGGACATTCTTTTGGAGCCAACGAACTACATGTCGCTTTCGGGACGAACTACAGGGACTCTGTGGGTCCTGCAGGCATGTGTTAAGCGCGCACGGGCGAATCGAACAGTCGTTCACCGTTTCCATTGCCCCCGACGCCCGCCCCGTTCCCAGCCCGACGAAGCCAAGGGAGACCAGTGTCGGGGGTGCGGATCGGGTCCTTTTGGGGCCGGGCGGTCCGATGCGATTCAGTGCCTCGTAACGTTCAGCGTCAGCGTTCCCTTTGCCTCATCTTCAGACTCTCCCCTTCTGTGCCACGAAGTTCCCACTCCGTGAGGAGATGGGCCTCACGTTGCTGGTCTTCACCGCGGGCTTGGAGTTAGTGAGTTGGGAGGCCGAGAACGGGAGAGCGGTTTCGCTCGGAAACTCGCTGCAAAAAAAGAAGGCCCTTTGGCCGCGGGGTTTCGCTGTGCCTTTTGCTTCGATGTTTTGTGGGGCTTCGTTTTTTCGTGGGAGAAAGGAAGAGAGGCGACAAAGATCTGAGACGATGTGGAGGAAACGCCGCGAGACAGATGTGAGTGAGTCGTTTCGTGGTGTTCAAAACGCCGAACAAACGTCTTCGGGTTGAAAGTGCCAAAACGGGCGGGAAGTGTTTCTGAAACCCTGCGCCCCAAAAAGGTTCATCTACGTGGCTCAACATCAGTAGCTTTCGGGAATTCCTTGTACGTGGAGACCTCTACTCTTCCGAACATCGGTGGCCTTCGTTTTCCGCCCTCCCGGACCTTTGGGGAGGTCTGCCAGCCCGTACCCCGGACCTCCTGGCTTCAGCTGAGGCTGTAAGCCTGGGGGCCGCAGGTTGGCGACAGGTGGGGGGCAGAGCATCGGTGTAGTGGGGCTGTTGTCAGGCTGAAGCAAAAGCTGAAGAAAAACAAAGAACAGTGAGTCTGGTCACTTGGTGAAGGTCAGTTGGGAGTTCTAGCAAGGAGATGATATACTTACTTTTGTTTTGACATGGTTTGAGTCAAATTCCTTTGGCTTTCCTCAAAGCTTCGGACTACGGCTCTCATTCTCACTATGAGAACTGTTCCTCGTGATGGTCTTCACTGTTTTTTGGTGACGTCTTTATTTTTTTTCAAAGTAACAACTGATCCTCTTGGCGAGTCCTTTACCCGTCCTGCAAGACATGTCAAAGGCTTGGTCTGCTCGGCTACAGGTGCCATCTCACTAGCGGTGCTGGCCCTGACTTCTTTCATTCTGCTGGCCGTCGCGCGCTTTGCAGTCACGCAGGTGGGACACGGGCTTGAAGCACACAGGGAGACCACATGGACTCAGTATAATGGCGGTTGATGTTCCCTTTTGACAGGATCAATGCAATGTTTTGAGGATGTAGTACTTCTCTTCTATTCTTTCTAAAAAACCAAACACTAGTGGACTAATGACTCCTTTTGGAAACCGTTCCGAACCCTTCTCCCGTCCTTTGGTCCTTCCACGTCGCCCCACCGCAACCCCCGGTTGAACGCGCCAGGGATCCTCGGCGGTCTTCGGATATGTGGACACACCCGCCCGATGCCTGCAGCTGTCGTTTTTGGGACCTGCTGTTGGGTGTGTAGTTTATCTTGGGTAGACTTCCAACCAATGGGTAGAGTCTAATTTCCTTCTTCCAGGGGGTCTTGTGGAGGTTTACTTAACCCACCCACATAAAAATATACCTATAAAGCCCATAGAGGCTTTTTGTGACCTCCATTTTGGATCACACTACCCCAAATAGGGTCCAACTTCCTATCAGAACGGAGGCCATGTCTGGGCTCTGGGTGTGTATATATATATATATACACACCTGGAAACCTAGTCCCAACCAGAAACACCTGGTTGTTCCAATGTGGCTTGCTCGTAGGAAGTGGCCGGGACTGGGGAAACTTGTTTTTTTGGCTACGGCTGTCAGTGGCCACCTACCTTGGGTGATCAAACCCGAATCGAACCTGCTTTTGGGGTTTAAACCGGAGGGCACCGGTTCGGAGTCCTCAACACATGGTGACGTGGATTTGACTTCGCCATCAAGGTCCAGTACCATGAGAGCTTTTGGGTACGTTCTTGGAGCCGGCCTGGCGTGTTTGATGCTTCCGTGGTCCAAGATCTGTGGATTGAGTCCTCTTCTCAAAGACAGACATCTCTTTTCGTCTCGTCTTTCTGTGCCGAGCTTTGTATGCGCCGCGCGCCGCGGCCGGCGGATGTGGTCGGACGTGTCGGCAGGCTACCTCTTTCAGCACTCGTACTATGGAAAGCTCCTGATCTTCCCCGGCGACCTCTCCTGGGACGGGAATCTGGCCGTGCCAGTTTTGGTGGGTGGAACTAAGGAAACATGTGGCAGCAGGATTAAGCCCCCCTTTGGTGATTTGGTCAAGGGTCTTTACCAAAACGACTTATATTTGTTCTTGGATTGGACACGACAAAGTTTAGGTCCTTCATGACATCGTCTTGGCAGGCGAACGGACCTCTCTGATCGCTCAGCCAACGAAGCTCGGGTTCACCACCAAGGAACCATCCTTCGGCGAACGCAAAGACGTGCACCGAATCTCTCTTCCCGCCGCGCTTGAACCTCTTTTTAAATTCCATTTCAACTAAGCATTGTTTTGATGGTCATTACTCATTATATACCAAAGAACACCAAGACACTTCAAGGAACCGGTAATTTTTTGTTACTCAGACATTTAGGACCAAACCCAGGTCAACCATTTTTAAAAATGGCCTTGGAAGGTCTTACGGTAATCGATCACTTGGGGTGGTTTTCTTTCGTGGTCAATGGGGCGGCCCAGATTCCAGTCCCGGCGCACCGAAGCACCATGCATTGCGGCCGAATCCCGAAACCCACCGGTTCGGATCTCTTACACTCCAAAACCACGTCATTATCCATATGGATCCATATGGAACGGAAGGCCATCCGGGATGCCAATGGGTTACGTATTTTGCTGGACCTTCCCGGCCCGAACCGAACCGGTTGGTCTGCGGACCGTTGCCGCCCGGTGGGTCGAAACGGCGAAAGGACTACTCCTTCGATGCCCTTCCGGTGCTGCGCGCCACCTGGCGCGACCTCCGGGTGCTCTCGGTCTGCACGGCGCGGAGCACCCGAACTGGGAACACCGAACGGCCCACGGAACAGGAGTGGTTGCCACACGCGCAAGGGAAGGTGGTTTTGAATGAAAGAGACAAGAAGTGGAGAACGTTTCAATGAGCGTTTTGGAGTGATTCATTGATGTTCTACCCACATGAGGATACTAGTTCATCCTGCTCATTCTTGTCGCCATGTTCTTATCCGAGGCCTATTTGTCCTTGTTTGCCCTCATTAGTAAGGGCCTTGCCAACTCTCGACGAATGCTGCCCGCTCCTCAGGGCTAAGAAGTTTCCTGTATGCCAAGAAGTGTGTTGCATCCAACTATTTGCCATTTACAGAACTATTTGCAAACGGACTGAATTGCCGACCACGTCGTCGACTTCTTCCTGAGAACATTTCAACATCTTCTGTCGAACGAATCGAACGAACCCCTTTCACGAGTCGACGAGGAAGACGGGCGTCGAACGATTCGCCTCTCGAAGGCTTTCGCATTGGAGGAACTCCTTCGTGGGTGGTTCGGAGCGCGGCAGGTTGGGTTCGACTGAGGTTGGGTTTGCAGGTCGTGGTGATCCCCTTTGTGCCAGCATCCAACCTCTTCTTCAAGGCATGGAACCTTTTCGATCGCCTATGGAGCGGAGTGAAAGCCCACCTGGGGGGGGGGGTAGAACGTGTCACCCGTGTCGGAAGAAGCCGCGTGTGGAGCCAAAGCCTCATTGCTCGAAATGGAACGGATGCGTGACACCTGTTGTAGCGACGAGTTCCTCAACACATGTGTTTGTGTTTCCAAGAAAATGTGCCTTCACGGACATATCATCCATGGCTATCCATGGATACCCATGGTACACATCCAAAGTATATGATCGATCTTTGGGCAGCCGGTCCGGCCTGGAAGCAAGGTCTATAGGCTTCCTCAACCAGGGGTTTCCTCCTCGACGGAGGTGACACATTCTTGGAGTCAAGATAGACAGAACTCTTTTCAGAAATGGCATACGTAGTCTTATAATGTCTTATACACCGATGATACACCCCAAAGAAGAAGACAGCAGAGAAATGGCATACGTAGTCTATTTCTTTTCAGACATGGCATAGTCTTATACACCCAGATGTGAAGTCTGGACCCTCCTAAGGAGAGGCCGGACCCGAATCCGAACTGGTCAGGGGACCAATCCCGGTTTTGAGGGACCGGTCGGGCTGATTGGAGCGTTTGGGTAGTATATACATTTCAAAAATAGGAATGGCACTTTGTAATAATCCACAACAATACTGACTCTTCATCCCAAACAACATGTCTCTCTGATTTCCGGGTGGTTTTTGGCTACTTCGTGGTCTCCACCTGGGCCACAAGGTCTCCAGTCTTCCGACCAGGTGGGCGTGACCATCGGTGAACGCTTGTGCGGCGACCCGATCGGGACGGAGCCATGTGAACGAGGAGATGGATAGATGGAGTGAACGACGAGTCGTTTTCTTTTTTTAAACCACAACCAGATGGTTTAACCAGTGGTCCCAGTGGTTTTGAGCCTGTTTTCACCCTAAGTTTTCACCCTAGAAGACGATTCCGACCCTGAAAACCACTGGTTGGTGCCAGGAGAACACTCTTCCAGGGGGCCACTGGTGGTGTCTATGATCTAGTCCAAGGAGGCCACGAGACTGTGGAACATGGGTGGTTTGGTTTGGGATTTAGTCCCTTTAAACACCATTTAATGGTATAAGACCAACAAACGAAGATATCATCTTAGTCCTTCAAATGGGTTGACCTGGGTGACCTGGAAGTCTCACATCACGTAGACTTCAAAACTAAGCCCTACACCTCCAGTCGTCGTACCTCCTCAGGTTCGGTGTTTAGACCCTCCTGGCACCCACCCCAGTCCCACCTTCGAAACGAAGGTACGACTGGAGGCCTAGGGCAGTCTTTTCTCGTCTCGACGCCAGGCATCGAAGAAATTGGACCTCCGTTTCTTCGGGTTCCGTTCCGCTCCGGGTGTTGACTTAGGCGTGGCGTGGTTTCTTCGAGTCTTTTTTCGTCCAACCAGGTCTCCATCGCTGCAAGATTGAAAAGGCAGGCGTTCCATTCTGTTGAGCAGAAGTTTGGTAACCTTCTTTTGTGGAGGGGTGTTTGTGAGAGCCCCCTCAATGATCATTTTGCTTCCAAACTGGTGTCTCAAAATGAGGGTGAGCATTTGGTAGAAAGAGTAATGAGCACTCATTTGTGTACTATCTTACTGCAATTCTCCCTTGCTGGTTTAATGCACCAAAGGACGCACAAAAGGACAATATTCTTTGAGAGACATCCAAATCAGAGCCTTTCTGAGTCAGCCGCCTGCCGAGGTTGTATCCGTGCACTGTGGGTGCAGCCCTTGTGCTTGCAGTGTGGGTGCCCATCGTGGAGACCATGGGAGTCCAGCTGACCATGTTTATACAATTTATATATCGAGGAACAGTATGTTCAATTCTTTTGGTCATACGGCCTTTTGACCATTTTTTTGTTCATTACGGGTTTTGCCCAAATACGGGCATATACGGCTTCCTCTCTTGGCTCAATAGGGTACCATATTCGGGTGTTCCAACGCAGTATTCGCACTAGTATGTTGGAATATGGTTACGGTGTTTTTTCAATAACATATTGAACAAATGCTAGTATCATACGGGTACCCCCAAATATGCATGCAAATATGGCCAGTATACGGCCATATTCGTATACAGTTCCCATTCATATAACATGGAGTCCCCCAGAGAGATGTCCGTGCCCAAATACGGCATATGCACAAAAAAGGCGGTCAATACGGCTTGAGGCCATAGTGATCAAAAAAAGTGATCATACGGGTTTCCATATATATATATATATACTTTTTAAACATTATCTTTATAATAGGTGATCCGAAGAATGAATTTCATTTACTTTGGGTGATGCCCGAAATAGTCGAACTGGACTTCTGGGGAGATGGATGGTCGGGCTGTCTCTGCGAGAGGTTCTCAGTTCCGAGAAGAAACCGACATCGGAACCCCAAACCACCATCACGCAGGACCATCCCACCAGGTCTGGAAGTCGGTTTCGGCGACCCGGGTTCCACAGCCACTCGTCTTCGCAGCTCGTACCAAGGCCTTGGGACAGAGCTTCGAGAAGCGGCACGGACGCGCCTGGCGGGGGCACAAGGGATCCCGTCTCGGGGTCGCCGTCTAGGGAGGGTGATCCCACAGGTGAAGTTCTGCCGGTTTCATCCGAACCATGTGTTCCGGAAACATGTGAGACCCTCTCGGAGAAAAAGAACGCGCCCCACCATGTGAGCCTTCTGTTGCGGCTTCTCCGAGTCGCAAAGTACGCCGATATGGATTTCTGGAGCTGGAAAGAACCAGGCGACTAGCCTGGTCGACCCAATGCTTGCAGCCTGGCTTGCTGCTCATGAACGGACCAAGGAAGCAGAAGAAGTCAAAGAGTTTGTGCCACTCATTCTCCACAAGGCTTCGGCGCTAAGAACCGTTCCAAGAGCCCTCAGAAGTTCATGTGCGGATGACCTCTTGAATCCTCTTTCTGGCTTTGACTTGGGATCATGCGGGTCATAGCCCTCGTTGATGCACTCCAATTGAATCCAATTGATGTCGTTCATGCATGTGGTGTCTACCCGAGTCAACATTTCAATTGTCAAAGGCTCAAAAGGGGTGAGTTTGCATGGATCCAGATGCAATCCTAGAACCTGAGTGACCTTTATTTTGGACCGCCACCAACCGGTCTTTTTCTATCAAAACACAGGTCAAATGGGTTCCGGGATCGTCCAACCTGCATACCTGCCAACTTGTCCTACCATAGTTTATCTCGAAAAGATCGCACCCTCAAAAGCAAGACCACAGGTCTCACCAGTCCAGTGACCCTCTGGTGACGCCGTCCGCCGCGACCGAGGCCGAGACGCCTGGCGGTGGCCTTGTTGCCGCTCAGAACCGACCGGACGAAGGGGACACCGGTGAGGATTCTGGAAGGCCAGGATAGACCACCCCGGTTCCACGTTCCTCTGATCACCAGTGGTGAGCCTCTCAAAAAAGCTCAGACACTCCATCGGACTGGAATATGATTATATGTATACCTATACTTTGACCTCTTTTCAACCACCTCTGGCCGTTTCTGGGCCAATATGCCAGTCCCAGACAGGTCGTGTCTGAAAATACGAACCTCGAAACTTTTTCCAACAACCACTTGGGGTGGAGAATCCTCCTCGAACCATCTGGCACCTCTGACCCTCCACCGTGAACACCACCAAGCCCTCGACCCGGAGCTTCCGCCCTCGGGAAACAAAGCCCGGTCCGTCCCTGAACACCTGGGGGGTTTGGTATAAGAAACCCAAACAGACCCCTCCACAATAATTAGGGTCCATGAGCGTTTTTGGAGGTACCTTTGGAAGATCTATACCAGCACCGAAACCAAGTTCGGTCTCCGAGTTCTGGAGGCGACCTTGTAGACTTTTATTGTCGCGGTGACCGGTGACCTGTTTCTGTCGGGTCCTGGTAGCGCCCTGGTCTCCTTCGGTTCGGCCCTTCGACCTTCGGACGTCGCTCGACGGACGTCACGGTGGACAGCGCCCCGAGGGGAGTGTATCTGTGGCGCTGCGGCGAGCGCGTGTGGCAGTGGCGCTCCTCCGAGGCGGTCGCCTCGGTCCGGCCACGAGCCAAACGGTGGGGTGAGGGTGCCGAAACGTGGCCGGGTTCTTTTTTTGGGGGTGCGAAAGTGAATTGTGAGGTTTCGGTTGAAACCGGACTTGAGCTTCGTTGGGATGTTTGGGTGAGGTTTTCTTTAATTAACTTTTTTTTTAGTTTTCTTTTTTGTTTGTTTTTTTTTTGAGTCCATTGCAGGGGTTTCCACCTTGACCTCATGTAGGATCAGGATCTCCAAGCAACGCCGGTGGCTCACCCGGGTCTCGCCCTGGTCACGCGCCCTGGTCACGGAGGCGCTCTATGTGGCGGACGCCCTGTCATGGCCGACGTCGGTGAAGACGCGGCACCAACTGGGCACGGCTGGGGGCTCCCGAGCCGATTTTCCCTTGTAGGGAGGCGGAGCGGGAGCGGAAGAATGGGTGTGATAAGTGGATCACCCTGCAGGTCCATCAAAGGAGTAGTGGGGTGTTTTTTTCTTTTCCACTCAAGAAGAAGAGGTGGAAAGTTCATTATTTTCCAGGGAAACAGGTATATAGTCAGGAAAGAAGGGTTGGAGATATCCGAGGATTCCCGGGCCCGCCATTGATTTAAGATGATTTAAGCGGTGTTTATCCAAACAACCAATAGGGTAGGGCCGGCGAGGTTTTCTGGATCCTTTGCAGCACCTAAGATTGAGGATGCCCAGGAAGTTTGATGATACCACAGCACGGCTGGCACGGCCCGGCACAGCTGCTGATGTCCCGCCTTGGGACCGGTCCCAGCATCAAAACTCTGCCTTTGGCATCCCCAAACCCATCAAACCCCCACGACTGGACATGGATTCCACATGCATTCCGACGGACAAGTACTCGGCGGGAGCACGGATGCGTCGGGTAAGTGCGGTGCATGCAGTGCGCGCGGTGACTCTTGTTGCATAGGAGTTCTACTGCCCCAGGATCCGCACTGGAGCCAAGCAGAGAACAGGGTTTTGAGGGTACAGGCCATATGTCAGCATGTCGGGTGCTGGTATACGATACCTCTTGGCTTTCAGAAACTTTTCGGCCCATTTCTTCCGCCCGCCCGTGTGGGGAAGACGAGGTCTTGCACCAGCAGGGTCGCTATGAGGAAGCCTTGCTCGAGCTGGGCCCCGAGAGTTTCGGTCGAAGGCGGTAAGATCGGTGAAGGTTTGCACAGGGTGTCCCGGGGGCGAGCAATCGCTTGTGCACTTGCCATTTGTGTCGCTTGTGCACTTGCCATTTGTGTCGCTTGTGCACTTGCCATTTGTGTCGCTTGTGCACTTGCCATTTGTGTCGCTTGTGCACTTGACATTTGTGTCGCTTGTGCACTTCAGAGGGTGTACACATGCTTATTAAACCATGAAAAGCAAACGACAACGCCTTGGGAACTCTCACACGACGTCGTCCGCACCCTGTCGTTAGCAAACAATTGCAATTAAGGTAATGTTTCATGGGCAACACACGAAATCGTCCACACCCTGTCGTTTGCATGAGATCAGTGTGGTGTGGTTTTGTTTTTAAGACGGATATATACATATACAATATATAAACATATAGCCTACCATGCGCAGAGGGGACGGTGCATGCAGTCGTTCGTGCTTAGGAGTTTACGCCGGCCGCCTTGCCAGTGCAGCTTCTTTCAAAAGCATCACGTGCCTCAGCTAGAACCAACCAACAAACAGCTAGTTTAGGCTACACAGTTGTACCCACACATGTGTCACACTTACGCTACAGAAACAACACACCCACGCAGAAACATCTTGCGCCAGTTTGCCCGTCTTGTTTTTTTCCACCGCTATATAAAAAGCAGCTTCAGGGTTCAGGGGTTTTCATTCAAACGTCTTCAGGTTTTCAGGCGTTCATGAAAGATTCTTTTCCGTACATCTTCCAGCCTTTTCTTCAAGTCGCTTTATGAAGCGCCCATGTTCGAAGAAGCTTGTGACAAAGCCCGCTGCGGCAACATCATGGAAGTGTAGAGCGAACTTGCGCTTGCGTTCGCTGGATCGAGATGGTGTGAAGGAGGAGATCCGCAAGTGGGCTTGCGTTCGCTGGATCGAGATGGTGTGAAGGAGGAGATCCGCAAGTGGGCTTCTCAGGTGATCGGTCAGCAGAGGTTCGATTATCGAAGCGTGACAGCCGTGGAGATCATTTCCGGTACATCTTCCAGTGCGCGTCGTGCTTGAACTGCAACTTCCGAGGTGTTGGTACGTACGAGGTCACATCTGAGGTTCTTTGGATGCAATGTATCACACATCTGTAGAGGTTATACTAGCAGAGGTAAGATGTTTCTTGTCCAGACTTCTAGCGGGAAATGTAGGGAAGAGAGAAACGAGAAAATCTGAGTGAAAAGTCTGAGAGAAAGAGCGTCGGACGGAAGTGTGAGTTGCGTGACATCAGGTGTTGCAACTGAACGCCCGACGCCGACAAGCACACGATCGTGTGTACGGAGGGCGGAAGGACTCACCCTTGGCAGGTCACAAGATTTTCATCCATGAGTACTTGGGAAAGAATGCCTCTTATCGCACGCAGCAGCTGGTTGAGATGTTGCGAGAAAAGTTTCCTGACCTTGAGGTCACAGACAGGCTTGAGGCGACGTTGAAGACGTAGATTGACAATTGGAGGGCCCGACATCGGAAGGAAGTCCGCGTGGCAAACCGTGATGAGTGGGTGATGGCGGACTTCCAGTGCTTGGTGGATGAAGCATCTGTCGCTGACGAGCTGGTGTTGGTGTATCACAGAATAGATGAGCAATTGTGCCTGGTATTTGCGCGTCCGAAGCTGGTGCACGAAAAGAGTGGCGAGTTGGCAATGGCTTAAAGTGCGCGCCGATGGAACGTACAGAATGGTTCAAGGAGACTATGTGGCTGTGTCGGGAGGGCTTGTGTCGAAAACATTTGGGAGGCAAGCGCGTCCTGGCGAGCCGGAGGAAGGTTTGACGACCCAGTTCAATGAGTTGGTGCTGGCCACCGCGCAAGGAGAACACAGAAGTGTATTCATTGCTCTTCTCTGCTTTGGTGAACGTGGCGGCAAAGTTCGGTGAAGGTTGTGCCCCGTTTGCACTAATGTGGTGGCACGGGGTTTGGCCACTGCAAAGGTGACATTGAAACGTTGGCATAGACAAGGTGCATAACATGCTACCTGCAAACCAAGACTTTGAAAGAGTTTGCGCCGAATATCAGACGTAGCAGTATAACGTATCGGGGAGTGGTTATCTTCACGACGCTTTGTCGAATCAGACGCAGTGGAAATGTTGCACTCACTCTCGATGGGTCCGGGGCGCACGCTCACAGGAGGAGAGCGCGTGCTTACAGTCTTCGCTGCACAGATTCAGTCCCATCAAAAAACCATAGATAAGCCAATAAATCGAAGCTCATTTATTCAAAAAACTAAAAGTGTCCGAAGTCAAACAACAAGCCCAACCAAAGCTCAACTCTAAATCGAAAGTCCAGCCAAAGCTTGGTCAAAAAAAGTCCATGCAAAAGTCCAATCAAAGCTGAACAGTCCAAGCCAAAGTCCAATGGAAGCTCAGATGTCCAAGCAAAAGCCCCAAAAGATTCGATTGAGACTTTGATTGGACTATGGAGCATTCATTGGACTTTTGCTTGGACTAAGCTTTCATTTTTTCTGGAACAGTTGTGAGCTTTCATTGGACTTTTGCTTGGACTGTTAAGCTTTCGCTCGATTCGAAGCTCGACCCAAAGCTCATGCTCGACTCGAAGCTCGACCCAAAGCCCAAAGCTCAACGCTCGACGCAAAGCTCGACTCAAAGCTCAACTGGCGCGCGGCGAGCTTTGGCGCGAGCTTTGGGACGAGCTTTTGGTGAACTTTTAGAAGGAAAATCAACTGACAGCTCAACTCAAAGCTCAAAGCCCCACCCAAAGCTCAACCCAAAGCTCAAAGCTCAACCCGAAGCTCAACCCAAAGCTCAAAGCTCAACCCAAAGCTCAACTCAAAGCTCAAAGCTCAGCCCAAAGCTCACCTCAAAGCTCAAAGCTCAGCCCGAAGCTCAACTCAAAGCTCAACTGGCGCGACGCGAGCTTCGACCCGAGCTTCAGCGCGAGCTGCGGCGCGAACCTTGGCTCAACAGCTGACAGCTAGGCATCTCCCAGCCTGGGCGCACAAGCTCGCTGTCGCTTGGTGACTGGGCTGCGTGGCGTTTAGGGTTCACGGCTTGGGTTTAGGGTTTGCTGGCTGCAGCAGCTAAGGCTCAGCTAGGCGTTAGGCTGGCAGCGGCGCTTCACCTCCACGCGGTGCTGGTGGGCCAGTTGGTGTGGTAACACCGATTGGTGCAAATTAGAAGTGCAAGGTAAAACTCAAAAAAAGAAACAAAAAGAATTCAATAAGACCCCAAAAGAGAGACAACAAAGACAAGGAAGTCAAAAAAAAGAAAAAGAAGATGGCTTGAAGGAGCCACAACAGAAGAATAATTGGAGTGCTTCGGGGCATCTCAGGGGCGGCTTCTCGCCGCTTTCTGCTCGCTGGCTGTTGCTGGTGTTCTGGCTGATGCTTTGTTTTGCCTCGCCTGGTGCTCATGCTGCGGTTTCCGCTGACGGAACGTTCGAGTTGAACCACTCCTCTTTACCTAGCCCCTACGATGGGCTCCCAATTCATGCATGTTCCTTCGAGCAGCGGCCATGGCTGGCGGCTGTGTTAACAGATGAATTTGATGGCCTTCCGGCTGCAGCGGTTGCTTGGGGTACAACGGTGGCGGCGCCGACGGCTTGTGTCTTGAGATGCAACAAGGGTCACTTGCTTCGGACAAACATGTTGTGGCAATATCCACATGTGACGTTTGAACGCGGTCCTTGCATAAACATAATCTGGCTTGTTTTTCTGGGAGTTATTGGAGTGATCCTGATATCACACCTGGCTCAAAGATGACTGAGGACCTCAGGACCTTTAGAGACCTGGAAGAAAAGTGTTTCCCAAAAGGTTTGACGTGGCGAAAACGGAAAGCCTATCTTTCTAAGACCCTTCACCTTGGAAAAATGAAACGACGCCTTTCGGCGTCCCACCCGCTCCGGTGGACATTGACGTGGCGCAAACGCAGGAATTTCATTCAGGCACGGCCTCAGCCTTCGCCCGTTGTTACGATTGCTGCCTCAGCTCGATTTTGTAGGTTGCGAAGGTATAGATCTGTTCGAGGCAGACACTTCATGAGAATTAAGTTTCGGCACGCTGGGCCGCAGTGGGTGCGATGGCTCGTTCGCCGGAAAGATCCTCAAAGACAACAGTACCAGGAATGGCTTGGAACAGTTGCGCCTCTGCTATCAGGTGGTAGCAAAGGCAGGCGACAAACACGGACCACTGATGCCTCACAGGATGGCCTAGCTTCAGCTCTCTCCCAGTTCCTGGCAAACTGGACTAAGGAACAAGAACCAAGTGGTCAGAGAACCTCTGGCAACAAGGTGGTGCCACAAAGGCATGTTGACAAAGACCACCAGCTGGCTAGAAGACTCATTGCCATCCTGAAGGAATGTTTGAATCAAAACTACTCCGACAAAACAAGTTGTTCAAAGGGTGATGCGAGAACTTGATGGACACGCCCCTGAACATACTCAGACTTCTGAAAAGAACTTTTCCCCCCAAACTCTTTCCAAGGTCAGTTCACCCGAACTGGTGATCAGAAAGGTTTTGGGGACTGGGATTCTTGGGACGAATATGACGACTGGGGGACTGGCAAATACTCTTGCTATTGGCACCGTTTCCCTAAATCTTCTTCATGGAAGCATTCTCCCATCATTCACGAAAGACCTGGGGTTACTTCGGTGCGTGAATCTGACTGGTCCATAACCCCTAAAATGTGTACGGTGAACCAACTTGTTGGAGCACTGCGAGAAGGTAGGGAACTGCCAGGCAACATGGTGCACACGTCAAACCTTGAGGAGGTCATGCATCTTCAAGACCTGTGGCAGACTTATCAGGTAACAAATGACAAATGGTTTGACCATAATCATCACCGACGCCATTATCGTAAACTTTTCATTCCCACACCCGAGCGAGATAAAACTTCGTCAATCATCTCCGAATTAGCAAACGCGTCAGGAGTGCAGGCTCACTTGTTGACGGGAGGCCGATGGGAAAAGCAAACTTTTGGTGCCAAGGGACATCACATCATCGGG